CAGGGTTCTTTATCGTGCTAAAGCTACCGTGACACGGAACCTCAGTTTTTAAGGTCCCACCCGAAAGACCCGTGCCTTTCACTTCTAGTGCCGAGCGCTGGCGAAGGAACAGTCACTACCTTTGTTTACATTTTAGGTTTGACGCGATGTGGCTAGCGAGAATCAAATCCCGATCACGAAGCGAAGCCCTAGCATTAGGCTACCGTGAACGGTCTATCACATAATGAAGAATCATCAGAATATAAAGACAGTGTATCTATATTGATTAGTTTTTTCGCTGTTTAATGTGTCATATGAGACGTCAGGGTATGCCGGTGAAACTTCAATTTTGGACCTTTACACGGCATTCAGGACTATTTAGCAGTCAGGGATCTTTATCGTGCCAACGAGACATTGGGTCTCGATTGTTAAGGTCCCATCCGAAAGATCCGCTACTTTTTCTTCAAAATTCTGAACGCTTGGCAAAGGAACAGTTGCTATCTATTTTTATCAACAAATTTGGTTTGTCGCTGGGGTTTAAATTTGAACCCACGATCTTCCAATCTCAGAGCAAACGCTCTACCAGTTGAGCTATCGTTCTACATATGTACAACGATATTTAAGATATTCACAGCATGAATATTATCCACCTAAGACAGTAAAGGCGCCGGCATTACATACAAATATGCACAAACTACTTATAATGAACAAAGTTGTGCAATTCTATCGTTAATGGATACAAATTTATCCAATTTGCATGTTTCATTAATGGATGCAAATTTATCCAATTATTTGCATGTTTCGTTATATCGTAGTCGTGAATAAAAACTAAAATGAACATCCAACTAAGTAATAAAATGCTTTTTGTTTTACGTAATTTGGGGTATGATAACATAACCGGCGTTAGCTTGTTATGTACATTTTTTCTGCATTGATTGCAGCCTTAAATTTTATGATATTTTCAATAGTGAAATACTGTGATTTATTCATTGAATAAAAGTGATATTCTCTCACAGTGTGAAGGATACCAAAATGATATTCTCTCACAGTGTGAAATGATATCAAAGTAAGTAAAAAATAATTTCTGGCCTGTCATAAGATAGAGATAGTAACTAACCATCTTGATAGAGCTAAAACTGCAAATTTCTTCCCAAATATGTTGCTAAAATCCATGCTATGTAATGTTTTCAATCTCACAACTGCTAAGCTATTACGTCTCAACCGCTCAAGTATGACGTCAAGCCTATGACACTGTGTTAAGAAAAGACAGAGGCAAAGGGAAAATCAAAGAAAATATAATAAACAGAAAATTCAATGATTTGTAGATGAATATGGAATTTATTTCACGAGTGGGACAGGATTTTTTGATATTTTCACTCGTGCTTCGCACTCGTGAAAATTTCAAAAAATCCTGTCCCACTCGTGAAATAAATTCCATATTCATCTACAAAACATTGAATATCCTCTATATATTCGGTTAAACACAACTAAGAAAGGCATTTTATTGCTTATATTTTTTATTTTTTTTAATTAGTCAAAGAAAATGTGGATGAAAGCACCTAAAATATCGTATTATCGATCCATTTCTTACATAAATGGAACAGGCACGAAACAGATTATCTTTAACTCTTCTTCCATATTTGGAGTTACAGTGGCTTCAAAAAAGAACATTTTTTAGAAGTAAATTGTTGTTATTGCTCTAAGGAGAGCAAAATGGTTTTCATATGAAATAAAGGAGAAAATATTCAGTGGATGTAAAAAAAAATTTCCACTAATATTCACCTGTTACATTACAATTATGGGCCCCAAACTGGTATAAAAGGTAAAAAAAAAAAAAGATAACAAACAGTAATTTAGCTCAAAAATTCAATTAAACCTTGCAAATTGAGAGCAGAGCAAACAGAGACCCATGGAAACAGAGACGGGACCAGGTGCCTTAGAGGAGTAAGTATTCCCTGCCAATCCGTCACACCCGCCGTGAGCGCCTCGTCTTAATCAGATAAACGGAGTAATGTTTGATTGTAAATTGTTTACGTCCCGTTCGAGAATTTTTCACTCATATTGAGACGTCACCATACATCGGTGAAGTGCTTCAAATGTAGACCTTTAAACTCCAGTCACATTTCCAAAAATGGCCAACGGTTTTTGAAGCAAAAATGTGATTCTTCGAGCGACAGTCGGCAGTTTATCGTCTTGTCCGATTTTGATCTCTTTTTTCGTCGGCCGACCAATTTTGTGTCTGTCGGTCCAATTATAATTTTTTCTGTGGCGATGACTGATTCTTTAATTGAAGCAGTCATTGGATAGTCCATCGACCAACTCTCGAACTTCAGTAGATCATCGGCAGACATTTTTTTTTAAGTCGGTCATCGGTCGGTCCACATATAGGCATGTATTGAGTTTTCCAAAATGTCGGCCGACGGTGAAAATCAAACTGTGGCTCAGCGCTCGATGATCGGGCGACGATTGGCCGACTTATAAGTATTCAAACTTTTAAAGTCATTAGTGTTAGGAATTCATGTGACTGATCTGCATCGCCTGATACTAGTGTCGCCTGATCGTTTTTTTTCAGCCGACGATAAAAATACGGTCGCCCGACCATCGGCTTTTAGTGTCTCAGGTATTACTCGGCACTTAGGGCCATTGAGCAGTGAGGGATCTTTATCGTTCCAACGCCTGGCGTGACGGGGCCTCGGTTTTTAAGGTCTGCGGAAAGACCCGCAACTTTCACTTCAAAGTGCCGAGTGCTTGGCGAAGGAACAATTGCTACCTATTCTTTATCGACTTATGTGTCAGTCGCGGCTGAGGCTTAAACCCACGACCTTCCGATTGCTATTTCATGCAGATGATAAGGTACATAGCCAAATACATAAGGGAAGGTAAAAGATTACATAAATATTGTCAATGAGACACTCCAGCAAAGAACGAGGGCGCATTTGATTGACATTTTGCAGGAATCTGGGCGCACTTGAAAAGTGAAAAATTCATTGATCTGTCAAATTAAAATCTAGCCTTCTTTTGATGTATCGGATTCCAGTGAATGTGATTGATTGATTGATTGTATGTTGTTTTACGTCCAGTTCGAGAATTTTTTACTCATATACAGACGTCACCATATACCGGCTTCAAATTTAGACCTTTTCTCGGCACTCAGGGCCATTGAGAAGTGAGGGTTCTTTATCGTGCCAGCGGCTACCGGGACACGGGGCCTCTGTTTTTAAGGTCTCACCGAAGGACCCGCAACTTTAACTTCAAGCATAAATATGCTGTTTTCAAGGACCTGGAAGTGTGTGACTAGAATCAATGTCATCTCTTTTAGGTCAATGTCACTAAGCAAAGAAATAATTGTGTCCAGAATACAATTCTGGAACTTCCGTTTGTGAATGAATTTTCCTTCATAATGTCGTTTCTAGCCATCTAAACGTTTGACGTACTGTCATATCTTGTAGGTCAAGATCAAAAAGTAATGAAAAATTGATCTTTTAAAGACAATAACTTTCAACCTTCATATAAAGCGATCTCAATTCCGTATGTTTTATTCAATAATTCAATAACATGTCAATCCGTATAGTAATTCCTAGGGGTATGACAAGGGTAGGGAATTTAAGACGTTATTTCTCCACACACCACAACTTCAAACTTCAAATTATTTGCTGAATTTGCTAAACCAACTTGATATCAATGGAATACAGCAATGTTGTATTAATTTATGTACAAATCTAGTAAAGAAGACGGGCGTACTTGGCGTGTGATCTGGAGGAATCATGTGTACGAAACATTTATGGTTTAAATGTCCACGATTTGGTCGGCTGACCAGAAGTGGACAGACTTTACCAAGTTACGCACATAGAAAAATGTTTAGATTTACATTGAAATAACTTTCAAATATGAAATATTTTAGTCCATTTGATAGTTACGATAACACAGTAATACTTCACATACATGTAAATAATAAACACCTAACAAGATAATAGGGTGTTATATATGAAATGAAGTTTCAGTAAGTTTGAAAAATTGCTTTCGCTCCCTGTGGACCTGAACCAAAATTTTTCTCTTTTAAAACTTATAAATCAGTAAATAAAATCCACTTGATTGTTTGTATAAATAAGAAAAAAAAAAATAAATTGCTCCATTCGAGGATCGAACCAAAATTTTTTCGAATCCTTAGTTCGCTGGACTAGTAACGCATACTAAGTACTGAGCTATCATTGCTACACAAACACTCCGGCATTTAAAATGACAAAGAAGCAACGCATTTACACATTGGTATTTTTTGGAAAAAGTTCATTTTTTATAGTCTCTGGGTCTTCTCTCCATTTTTTACAAATGTTTGTTCGTTCCTTTGAATACAAATGCACACAAATGTCTTTTTAAAATCGTGGAGAGATGACCCAGAGATAAATTTTTAGAAAAACGTGTTTAAAAATGTAATATTTTGTAGCAAATGACGCATCTAGCCATGTTTCAAATTATTTTTAAGGAAATCAAAACACACTATTGGGAAAATGTTACCTTTCCTATTACATAGGAACATGATAAATCAAAAGAATGTTAAAATTTAATTTTACAGTGCAATAAAATTTTCACTTTTCAAGTGCGCCCCGATACCTGCCGAATGTCAATCAAAAGCGCCCTCGTTCTTTGATAAAGCTTTTATATATCGCAAAAACTTCCAAATACTTCTATTTCTTAAATGGAAGAATGTCCGTAAGAAGACAGTGTAAAAATTAAGTTGAAGTTTCGCAAGTTCCGATTTTTAACAATCCTACATACATGTATTAATATAAAAATACGGCCTTGAAATATTTCTAATTATATAGCTATACATGATATTCTACTTCGCAATACACAAATATAAATATGATTATTAATTCACTTCTGAGGTAAAGAATGTTACTACTCAATCACGATAAATAGGAATCATACGAGCGGAAAAAAAACCTGGAAAACATCCAGTAGACAAGAGCTGCATCTCGTACTTGCCACGTGAAATATCGATTAGAAGCTGAGTAATCGGTCTTTACCAGCGCAACTATATACTGTTATAAAGTGGTCATATGTGAACTTTGTGAAGTTTAGCAGTTGCTACCATATGTGAAATTACTGCGAAGGTTGATAAGATAATAACGCCTAGGGAGAATTTTATTTTTGTACAGGTGAGCATTTATTAATTTTTTGTCTATCGTATAGTAAGACATATGTCTGTTTCAATCATTTAAGCTACTATCACTTAATCTTATTGAAATCGTATTATGCTTTTAGAAAAGATCTTGAAACTGAAAATATATTTATACATGTACGAATTTCTGTGTCCAGAACACATACATACCCCAGGGTAATGATTTGTTGGTTCAGCTCTGATGAATACAACCCCATAGTGACCCATTCCTAATTGTAAAATTTAACCTTCGAAGTAAAGCTTTTAATGGGATGTGAATAAGAAAATTATCGCGAATGTATTACACCGTGTCTGTAAATGGTCACTGTTTAGCATACTAAAAAGTCATGGGGTTTTTAGACGATTAATGATGTTTGTAAGTACATATTCAAAGGGCAAAAAAACACAATCATGCATATACCTGGTGCAGTAGTAATCTGTTTTAAAAGACAAATAAAGGTACGTAAAGATAGTGTAGCAAAGTGCGTCAACCTCGGTTAAAAGATGCACACAATCAATGCCGATGAGCAGCAGGTAAGTGTTGTTTATAATTTCCTGTTTTTGGTTTGTTTGTTTTTAATTTATTATTACATTCAGTGAGACACACATTTAAAAAAAAAAAAAACGTAAGTTGGATGATATTTGAATTATTTGTTTTATACATAAGAAATTCGAATGCTTTTAAAATTTTAAATGGCAGTGTATTTCATAATGATTAAATATTTTGCAATACCACTTTTGAAATAGAGCGTATATATGATTATTAAAACATGATATTGATATGAGCTGTTAAATTTTTGTCAGTGAACGTATAGAGCATTGCAAAATATATAAATAAATACATCGCTGAGATTACAAAACTTTTTGAAACCACAAATTAAGAAGCATGTGATTTAATTTCAAAATATTTTTTTGTCAGTATGCTTATATTTCTTTATTTGGAAATTATATATAAATTCAATCAACAGGGTTAGTCGCTTTAGGAGGAAAAGAGGAGACTTTACAAGGAAGAATTGAACAGTAACTACAAGATTTTTATGGATTTACTGACTTGGGACAGCTCATTCACTAGGAATTCATGTAAGCTTTCTTACAATCTTCACAAATTCAGTTATTCACCATGGTTATAATATATATAATATATATAATATATAAATCCTTGCAAATTCTCATGCTTGTAATATATATGTATATAAATCCTCACTAATTCATCATGAATTTAATATGCTTTCAAAAATCTTTACAAATTCACCATGACTGAAATATACATTCTCAAAGTAAAGTTCATTCAAAGATTTTCTTAATTCATGCATGTAGTGCTTAGTGCATTTCTGAGATCTGTGATTATGCAAATACAGGGATAATTCGCGTGCTTTTTGATCAAACCTTAACTGTAAATGAATTTTCTACATTTATATGTACATTTACACACAGAAAAGCTTAAAACAACATAACATGTATAATGTACTTTATGTGCATGTGAAGGATGGGTACTCAATATTTGTCTTAGGATTGAAAATGTTTATTAAGTTTTTGAAATGTTGTAGACAAACAGTGTCGTTGTCTTTAAGCTTTTGAAAACATATATGTGATAAAACAAACGAAGAAACCCTCTTTAAAGTAAAACACCTTTGAGGTATTTATTATCTGCTGGAAAAGCAATGCTAGCGATTCTGTGATTTTGCGTCATACTTAAGAACTTGTACTTGTGACGTCAACTACCAGGGCGTATGAGGGCGAGGCGGACAAACATATATCCTTGGTCTATTTTTTTTTAATGTAATCCCTAAGATAGTTTAAAAAGTAAGTATTACTTTATTTTGATAATCTAACAGTGATGAACGTAGGGGACTTTATATATAAAGGACTTTCAGATATCAAATACATATATATCTTATTGTAAATATCAGAGGATAAATTATACTGAAAGCCACATTGAGGTATGATTGTCATCGTTTTCATGCATCCATTACTGAATTCTTTATTTGTATAATCGGGTATTGTAAAGGTGAGTATATCTGTGTGTTGTTAAAATACTATTAAAAAAATTCATTCAAATGAATCATAACTTTTTTTCTGCCAAATCATTCATGTTATTGATCCCTGTGGATTTAGTTAGGTTTGACGTCCGCATTTTTTCCACAGATGTTGTATACTGTGTATAACAAGAAGAAATCTATAATCTTTCATCGAAATCATCAAATTAAAAGTGCGGTATCTTAATATGCATATGTTATCGGAATTCATACACAACTGTGCAGCAAAAATATACTAAATACTAGTGTGACACTAAGGTTTCATTAAATACTCGAAAATTCCTGTATATATAATTAATTATTAAATGTTGAATGCTACATGTATATGGAAAGGAACCCGCACCGGAGATACTTGTCATATTTTCAAACTTGTGCCCGTGATGACTATGTGAAAGAGGTCAATATTGTGAAATTCGATGTCAAAATAATAGGCTTGAACTCTTAAAAAAATACTTTAAAGCATGATTAAACAGTTAATTTTAAAGATCTTCATTACCACCTTTTCAGTTTAAGAAGACAGTAATGGAGAAATGTATAGAGACCTTAAAGGAAAGAATGAAGGATGTGGCTCCAATAGAAGGGGATGGGGATTTCTATCCAAATGATACAACGTAAGCAAAATACAGTGCATTTATTGCTTAAAATTTCAGACCCATTGCCCTTTGTAAACTAAGTGTAAATCATGTACAAGGCTTCACAATATGTCCTGAAAATTACAGTGGCATTCAAACAAATGTACATGTCTAATACATTAAAGGTTTATTGAAAAATAAGGGTAATCAACCATAATAAGTTGCATTTGATGGGCAAACGTTCAAGGCAACAGTCTGCATTAGAAAGCATTGCTAAGTAACACCCTACCAGCAATGACAATTTTATCAATTGGTTGCGATGCATCATTGGTTTTTCTCACATTGAAGAACAACTTTTATAATTCGTCATTTTGAAAGATCACCACCACTAAAACGTTTTATCGATCTAACAAACTAGATGGACTATTTATTCCATTAATTGTCCTTATAATGTCGAGAATGAAGGAGGGGAGACAATTCACAAGTTCCTAAAATAACTCAAACTCTCTTAACCTTTGATATTATAAGTAATTACATGTAAGTCTAGGACACTGTAGGATTGCAGAAATAACAGTTTGTTCCTATTGCTTGTGATGATGTTAATCCAATTTCAATATCATATTACTTCTTCAAGAGAGAGATTTTGCATTATACACGTTTAAATTATAAAAAGTTAATGACTTAAATTTTTTATTCAAACCACTTTGTACTTGAGAACAATGCATTAATACCAGTCCAAAATATGTCAAAGTGAGCATTTTGTTCCGTTCTGTTCTTTGCCTTTTTGTTAATGGTTATAATTTGTATCATTCTTTCTTTTAAGCATTGTAAGATATCTTAAGTCACGTGACTGGAATATTGATGAGGCTGAGAAATTGCTTCGGAATACAATAGAATACAGGAGGCGGCTCAACCTTATAGACATTGACTGTAGGTGGTGCCACGAGAGACCAGGGTTTCATACAATGGTAAGTAACATTCTGTTCAGATGTCATTATGACACAAACTGTTAAACATGAACATAGAAGGGTTTCTTTCTTTAGTAACGTATATAATATGTTAACTCATTCAGGGTTGTCCCTAAGACCCGGGCGCCGGGGAATTTCCCCGCCTATAATGATGTAATCCCCCGGTTATTCTGGTATTCCCCCTCAACCCCCCCCCCCCCCCGTTAGGAAGGAACCCAAAAAACCCTTCTACTTTATTAATGTCCCCTGTTATTTCAATTCTTAGGGACAACCCTGTCATTAGATCCTCCTCGTTCGGTGTTCTATCTAAAATTTCTAAAATTTTTCCATCGGAGTTTGAACTATTGAGACACTTGTTGCTTTTCCTTAAAGGCTGTAAAGGAAAAGCCTCTAAATGTTATTATTGAGTTTTACAATGCTAATTTATAAATTCATCTAAAAGTTGCAACCTCCATATTGCAGCGTCAAGTTGGATTTGATGAGAGTGGACGACCAGTGATCTATTCTAACTTCAGACAGGCGGCTACACATAGGTACAGCGCCGAGGACTCAGTAACCCACGTGTCTTATATCATAGAAAATGCCAAACTTACCATGAAACCTGGAATCAGTACTTGGGTGTTTGTGGTTGACTGCTCAGGTATATGTGCACACCTTAAGGTTCAGGCGTCGAATATATTTTAAATAGTCTAAAATCTGTTATCTATATTTTTTTTCTGAATATACCTTAAGCTTTTTCTTTTTTAAGTTCTTGATCAACTCTACATGATTAACTATTTCAGGTCACTCACAAGATCAACAAGAATTACTGTACTATGATTATCATCTTTTGCAGGTATGACACTTCCATTGTGCAATCCCAAACTTGGCTATGGAGTGACACAGATACTAGCGGATCATTACCCAGAACGGTTAGGAATGGTCATTTGTTTAAACCACAATGCAGTCTTTCACGCCGTTTGGAAAGCTATCAAAGTATTTCTACATGCAAACACTGCTTCCAAAGTGAAACTTGTTCGGCCAATGTCCAAGGTGAAAGAGACATTCCAAGAATATTTTTCGGACGAATTAACTAATTGGTTGCTGGAGGAAATAAAACTGAATAAAAAGCCCCCACTTTGTGATAGCCAGAGACAGTTCTGGGTGCGTCCAGAGAAGGAAGGATCACATGATCCACGTGGATGCCCATCTTATGTGTCCGAGTACGTAGAAAAATACCTCGAAAAGAAAGAACTATCTAAACAGCGGATACATAAGCCTTTCCCGCCCATTATTGATAGTTTGTTGGGAAAACTTTGTGATGTCACACCATGTTCTCCAATCGAAGACGTGTCTTCCAGTGACGTCAGCAGGACGAGTAGTGATGAAGGAGAGTTTGATATGGACAAGGTGGATGAAATTGAGATTCCAGACAAGTTTAAAATTGAAAGTAGTGCGTTTAAGCAAAGTTCCGTATCTTAAATCGTGTCGTTTTCTTGGATCGACAAGGAATTAAATGAAACTTGTATCCTTCAATGCAATTTTGTTGGTTGTTTACTGAGAATAATTTGTTGAATGTTGATAATATTGTAAGATTAAAAATATATGTTACTAAATGTGTTTCGTTTTTCATGAAAAATAAATCTACCACCATTTATGAGAAATAGATACACATGTGTAGTTCCAATTTAGTTTTAAAATACACATGTACAGTAGTATAGGTGCATGTATGTCCACCGATATAGAAGACACCAGTAGAGTTTCTTGAATATCCTTCTTTCTTAATTGCCACTATACATATAGATTGCATCTGTTACGTAAATGCAGAGATCAAAAACCTACTATACAGTATGGTACATTAAAAGTATACATTTGTGCAAAAGCTCGGATACATATATACCACTTGTAAAGTCGGCAGGTTCGACCATTTCCTGCAACTATAACACAGTTTTCCACAAGAATCTTGGATCCTTAATCGCAGTGCATCAAGGTATGGAAAGTTATGATTAACAATTTACAAATTAAAGGTTTATATTTGTACAATATAAGAATTACGTACCGAGTTGGAATTTGAACCCGTTGGCTTTTCATATCAAGACACAAGATGTAGAATTTTAGATGAGAGGATCCCAATATTATGTTTCAATTTTATGATATGAAACTTAAAAGCAATAGGTTACTAGTATTATTTATTTCGGTCAAAAAATTAAAGTTCCAAGTTTATATTTGTGAAAATCTCACATACACCTTTTGCACGTACAGTCGAAGTTCAGCCATTTCCTGGAACTTATTAAACAGTTTTTCATAAGAGTCTCTGATACAAAATTAATTATAACGAAGAACTCACAAGTTTACAGTCGTAGAACCCTCATGATTATCAACGGAAATGTATGAATGACTTTTTTTAGATTTGGCATTTCCTTATTAAAATTTTGTCTTTTTCTATATTTCTCATGTTTCTAATCAAGCAAATAAAAAGAGTATACTTTGTCTCTGTCATTATCTAAATTGGATTTCATAAATAGAGACAGTTATAATCAAAATCATTAGTCTAATTGTTTTTAAATCCCATCTGTAGCCCCGATTTACACACATGACCCATTTTATAGGTACATATAGTTGTCAACATTATTTAAAGATAAAGTTTAAAACGAAAGTAGGAAGCGTAACAAGTAAACACCACCAATCTGAAAGGTAAAGTATGTTTATAAGGTTTAAAGTCACAGTCATTATCTTGCAGTTCTAATATTCCATCACTGTGTATTTATGATAGTCATGTATATAGTATATATATGTGATAAATTTAGAATATTTAATATTAAGATTAAGCAAAAGAATATTGATTTATTGGCATTTATGCCTTTACTTATTACAACAATATTAATAAACCTTGATTGGCTTACAGAATTAATTTTAAAATGGAAAAATATTTTCTTGTTGCTGCCATTGACTTTGGGACCACATACTCTGGCTATGCCTTCGGAATGGTCCGTGATTTGGAGGAGGATCCAATGAAAATTCACGCTAATCAGGCTTGGGTCTCCGGACAACAAAGTCTGTTGTCCCTGAAGACCCCAACATGTTTACTACTGGATAACAATAAGAAATTCAAGTCGTTTGGATATGAGGCAGAGAACCAGTACAGCAACATCACCATGGACGAAGAGACGGAGGATTATTATTACTTTTACAGATTTAAAATGAACCTACATGAAAGTGAGGTGTGTTACATGTCTTCAATAATAAGAAGCAATAAATTAACGTTATATCTCCATATCATTTCTTTTTTGAAACAATTCTTATTTATTTGAGCTTTGAAAGCATTTAAACAAGGTCGTAGTTGGTAGCATTTACTTCAACACACTCTATCTCTCTTTGTGTGTGTGTGTGTGTGTGTGTGTGTGTAAGCAGATGGACAGATTTATGAATGTATATCCGATGCCATATATATACTTCATAGAAAAACACTTGTTTTTTCTGACATGCACATCATGCCTTATAAAAACATGCGTTCATAGTAACGTTCTATCTGATTCAATTCAATTTCAGGAGTCATTAGAAAACCTGAAAATAAAAGACGCCAGTGGAAAGAAGCTACCCGCAATGACAGTCTTTTCTCTTTCCATCAAAGCCCTGAAAGACCATTTACTTGATCTTCTAGATACCAGAGGTACAACTCTGAAGGCAGACGAAGTACTGTGGGTACTTACAGTACCTGCAATCTGGTCAGATTCCGCCAAAATGTTCATGAGGAAAGCAGCCAAGAAGGTATTCATTGAATTCAATAATAAATACTGATATAGAAATAAATATAGAGGATTTATTGTGAATATAATGTAATTGATAAACTAAGATGATTTTATTTATTTTTCTAAGGCGGGGATAAAAGATAATTGTTTGAAGCTCGCTTTGGAACCCGAGGCAGCATCTATTCATTGTCAACACATTCATGTGGATCGTACAAAAGGACAGCGAGGTTTTGGTGTATCCGCTGTGGGTACTAGATATATGGTCATAGATCTTGGGGGTAAGCTGTGCGTGAGTTAAAACAAATGATGAGAGAGATGTAAGCCTCCATAGGAATGTTAACTTGTCTTTAATGAATCTAAGAGGGATTTTTTTAAAGAAGGATTGAATCCTTACTCTAATGGTCACGACTATGTACTGGTGGTCAAATATCCATAATAAAAGCAAATATCATACCAGGTTTTCCCTTTTGACATTTTTTCCTAATAATTCTGCAAAAATCAACCATGTCAGATAAATTTCAAAACCTGTGTAATTTTTCCCAGGAGGAACTGCCGACATAACATGTCATGAGAAGTTGGATGATGATTTTCTGAAGGAGCTGTATAAAGCCAGTGGAGGGGCATGTGGAGGTACGGCAATGGACGCTAAAGTTCTTGGCGTAATCAGGGAAATCGTGGGAGAGTCGGTCTTTAATGAATTCAGAAGAGTCCATGTGGAAGGATATATGGATCTACTGCGGGAAATTGAAGTCTTCAAACGAAATATTAAACCTGAGAGTGATGGAAAAATCAATATGACCATACCATACGTTTCCCTCCAAGAACTTTGCTCCATCAAGTTAAATAAAAGTTTTAAAGAATTGCTTGCAGTTTCTTCCGTGTCCAACGATATATCTCTTACGGGGAACAAGCTTCGTTTCAGTGCAGATTTTGCAAAACAACTTTTCACATCTATTACTGATCAGATTGTGGAGTATATAAGGCTCATTTTAATGCAACCGGAAGTGCAAAACATAAATAGGTTCTTACTGGTCGGTGGTTTCTCAGAGAGTCCCATGGTGCAACATGCCATCAAGGCGAACTTTCCTGATAAACGTCTTATAATTCCTCAAGAGGCTGGCTTAGCCGTATTGAAAGGTGCTGTTTTGTTTGGTCATCGACCAAAAACGATCAAAAGCAGGGTGATCAAATATTCCTACGGCGTAAAAACCACACCAGTATTTGATCCAATGGTTCATGACCCCAAACGAAGATGTATTATTGACGGAGTTGATCGATGTCAGAATGTTTTTAGCTGTTTTATGAAATCAGGCACCGCTGTTGAAGTGGAACACGAAATAGAGAAGAAGTACCAAACCAATGAAGTATTTCAGCAAACTGTTCCACTTGAATTGTTCTTCTCAATAAAAGAGGATCCAAAATATATTGACGAACCTTGTGTGCAAAAACTGTGGAAAATGGATATAAACATCCCACATCCATGTGAAAATCCACGAAAGGTTAAAGTTCTGTACATTTTTGGTGATACCGAATTAAGAGTGACTGCTGTAGAAATGGATACAGGGACACCATGTGAAGCCACAATTGGTGGAATATGTTAAACTGAATATAGCTAGGAAATTTCAAGATAACACATCAATTTGTGTTGTTTTAGGGTATTTTATGTGGTGTTCGATTTTGTTTTGCTTCTTTCAATGAATTGGTTCTGGTCTGGTGTAAAATAAAAACAAAATGAGTGTTTTAATGGCGTTGTCATGTGACCAAATGTGGGGTATTTTTGGTGAGAAATTAACTTTATCTGTAAGAAAAATAACAAAGGTCTACAATGAGATAAAACCGCATTGCTTAAAATGAAATTAACATCAGATTTTGTCATCTTCACCGCAAACATGGAATTCGAGGTCAATGCAAGATACGGTCCATGCAATGATGAGGAAATTATAAATAATCGAGTTAGCAGCAACACCAAATAGTCGTTAAAGTTCTGTTCAAAAGAACATTTCTTTATTGACAAAGCAAGGTTAAAGCCGATGAATTTCGGGGAAAAAACTTTTATTGTAAAGCTCAAAAAGGAGATGGAACAATATATGCTAGATCTACTATAATATTGATGTGAATTTGATTACAGAGATTCTACGTCTTTGTAAAATCTATAAAGTGGGTCAATTAAAATGACAGAGAATTTAAAGCCACTAATATCAAGTTCAGCGCATGTTTGGTGAAAATAATAGACACGTACGTATAACTAATGCAAATGTGAAGAAAAAAACTTCATGAGACTCCTGTTTTTGTTACTAAATTTCAGTAATTTACATTGATATTGATTTATATTGATACCAGTATATTTAAGTAAAATGTGATTTAAAAAAATAGAACATACATAGCCAAGGAATTGAAAATTCACATGTAAGTACACTACACTTTAAGTTTTCTTAAAAGAAATTGTATAATTCATTTTTTACAAAAAAGTCAACAGAATGATTGAAATGGAACCTAGATAAATATGTGTCAAAATGAGGAACATTGAACTGACAGTACTAGTTTCAGATGTTTTGGAGATTTATAAAAATATTCAATGCAAAAATTTAAAAGAATCAGTAGATGATTTGACCTCTATATATGACCTTGACCTTTATTGAGGCTCCTTTTAAATATGTCCAAATATCAGGTCTCTGGTATAAATGGATCAAAAGTTACTTTGCATTTAGTAACAGGCTGTCATATTGCATGTAGATGGCATAAACACATTCTAAAATGTAGGCTCTCGAATGGCCAATATATAGGATTCTCTAATTTTTTTTTGGCATAATCATGTTATTCAATTCGCGAATGGATTAAGTTTGACGTTGTACACGTTAACGTTTACGTTTCTTTTCCTTTTGAAGGATGTTGTTTTCACATATATCTAAGTATATAATACCAGAAACAAAATAAATATGAAAGAAATTTAAATTAAAAATATGCTATTTATTCCGTAAATGTACTAATTTTTGCTGTTTTCACATATATCTAAGAATATATACAAGAAACAAAAGAAATATGAAATGAATTTAAATTAAAAATATGCTATTTATTCCGTAAATGTACTAATTTTTGCTGTTTTCACGTATATTTAAATATATAATACTGCAAACAGAATAAATGAGAACTAATGGAGAAGGAATTAAAAGGAAAAATACCAAAATGTGCTTTTTAATTAGTAAATTTACTTATTTCTAATATTTTATATGTAAAGTACGTATTTTAAAATAACGGGTTATGCCATTGATGTCATTTACGGAATAAACGGAATTTTATTTAATATGTTTTTAATTTTGTTGTACTTCTAGTGTTCAAAGAAAATAACAGATACATCATCCATTTGTTATTTATTTCGTATTAGATGAAATATAAAGACGTAACATATTAATTTGTATGCCATTTACGGAATAAACGCAGTATTAAATAGCTTGTTGGGATTTCACTCTTCGTATCGAAGTGCATGTGGTAAAAACGCTAATTACAACTATTATTAAAATGTAAATTATTTGTGTTCCTTCTTTCATATTATTCAGTGTAGTGTTAAGAGTGTTCACGGTGTTCACCATCCAATTGTTTTCATGGGCCTCGTACAGTGCAAGTTTAACGTGAGTGATGTGTACTCAAATGTATAGATCAAACTTGACGTTCGTTGACGCAGTGGGCTCGAAAATGAGAAGAAAAATATATGTAATGTAGATATAAGACAAGTTTATATATACTTCCCTTTTAGACAAAAATGCAATTTACTTGCATCTGTATTATAAATTTGCAACCTCAGTCCTGATTTTTTCAAAGTTATGTATCTACTGGTTTTGATAAGTGAATCCTTACAAATTTTTAACTGACTTCAAAGTTCACTAAGAATGTGTATTATTTACGGAATAAATGGAATAGTTTGTATTTTTATATATTTACTCGTGTTAATGAATTCGCTGTCCCTGATTTGCGTTGAAAAACAGAACTTATGTCGGTATATACTCATGTTATTCAATTCACTTCATTCAATTCCTTCATTATTTTAAGAATGAAAACCCCCCAAAAAATCCAAGCCCCATTTTTTATCTGTATGACCCCCAAATAAACCCTTTTCCGGGGAAAACCTCCCCTTTCAGAGACGTTTAGAATGTTGCCTCTGTATATATATACTCATGTTATTCAATTCGCTTTCCCTGAAAAGTCAATTTAAGAGTCTTGCCTCACTATATATATACTCATGTTATTCCATTCGCTCTTAATATCTGATATATAATTAACGATTCGGTTCACTTGCGTTTTATTGAAAGGAAAAACAGAACTTGCGTCGGTATATACTCATGTTATTCAATTCGCTTCATTCAATTCCTTCATTATTTTTAAAAATGAAGATCCCCCCAAAAATCTAAGCCCCATTTTTTTTATCTGTATGACCCCCAAAGAAACCCTTTTCCGGGGAAAATCTTCCCTTTCAGAGACGTTTAGAATGTTGCCTCTGTATATATATACTCATGTTATTCAATTCGCTTTCCCTGAAAAGTCAATTTAAGTCTTGCCTCAATATATATATATACTCATGTTATTCCATTCGCTCTTAATATCTGATATGTATTATCGATTCGGTTCACTTGCTTTTTGTAGAAAGGAAAATAGAACTTGCGTCGGTATATACTCATGTTATTCAATTCGCTTCATTCAATTCCTACATTTGTTGAGAATGAAAATTCCCCCAAAAAAATCCAAGCCCCATTTTATATCTGTATGACCCCCCAAGAAACCCTTTTCCGGGGAAAATCTCCCCTTTCAGAGACGTTTAGAATGTTGCCTCTGTATATATATACTCATGTTATTCAATTCGCTTTCCCTGAAAAGTCAATTTAAGAGTCTTGCCTCACTATATATATACTCATGTTATTCCATTCGCTCTTAATATCTGATATGTATTATCGATTCGGTTCACTTGCTTTTTATAGGAAGGAAAATTGAACTTGCGTCGGTATATACTCATGTTATTCAATTCGCTTCATTCAATTCTTTCATTATTTTAAAAATGAAAATCCCCCCAAAAAATCCAAGCCCCATTTTTTATCTGCATGGCCCCCAAAGAAACCCTTTTCCGGGGAAAATCTCCCCTTTCAGAGACGTTTAGAATGTTGCCTCTGTATATATATACTCATGTTATTCAATTCGCTTACCGTGAAAAGTAAATTTAAGAGTCTTGTCTAACTGTATAATTCTTTTTATCATTTTATTAATGCTTTTTATCATTAAAATCAGTTTTATAAATGTAATGAGGTTACGTGTACAACGTCAAACTTATTCCATTCGCGAATTGAATAACATGATTATGCCTTGACATTATAGTAATATTATTCTTTTATTCTAGTGTACTTATATAAGAAATTAGTTAAAAACAGATTTCATGGGTGTTTGTACTACCTTAATATTGTTCCAACTTGCGCAAGCTGCACTATTTTTCATAACAGCTAGGGAAGTCTGTCGTTAATTTTTAATTTATTTAATAATTGAGCAAATGGTAATAGTTTGAAAATCAAGTGACAAAGACATTTTCTGACATAGTTTCAGTCTATATTAATTTTTCAGGTATTTATAATTTGAAAATAACGTAAGCACATTTCCAAATCATCGTTTAAATTAACGGGAATGTATGAGTCTCAGTTCCCTCGATTTATTTTGGAAATATTGATTGCGTCATAATAACATTGCGTCATAGTACACTGACGTCACAAAGGTTGCGAACCATTCTTGTGTTTTGTGTTCAAAGACTTGGGAGAGATTGTAAATGCAAAAAATGGACAAACTTGGAAACAAGGCATTTGAGCAGCGTTTAAGAGCGAGCTTGTTAGATTACGTGTCCAAAACAAACGCACGGACAATGACACCAGTGGTAAGCTTCAATTATCGTAAAATGCTTTCTGATTAACATGTTATATTGCTTTTTTTTTATTTGCAGCCACTGAGGATATGAATAAAAATTACAAAATGCAAAATAAACTTGTTAGAAATGAAATCTATCAAAAGATGAAGAATTTATTTCAATGATCAGGGAAAAAAACTTGTTTATTTTTTTTTTTTCATGCTTCCAGAGAAGGAATATTCTTCAAATCCTAATATTCCTATATGGTAAAAAGACAACAAAGACAGATGATAGATTTTCATATTCCACCAACAATGAGGTCGCTGGTAAGATAATGATACAACCCACCTTCCCTAGATTTTACAAGTACCAGTCGAGTGTACTACAATGTACATGTACAGTGAAATACTCATAAGATCACTTAACATTTCATTATTATATTATTTTATTCGTTCATATTTATGTATTTATTTATTTATTAATATTTATAGATCAACAAAAGAAATACATTTTGTTTGCCTTCTTGTTTATGGAGGACCTTAAAAAGAATTCTGTGACAGCAACAGACCTGTGTACTCTACAAAGAATGTGGGACCAACACCTACTCCATCTGGCCAACAATGGTGTGTTATAAACACATACCGGTATATAATTCTACTTTGGAAATTGTACGATACAAACATTTAGACGTTTAAATTGTTGTGTCCTAAAAACATTTTAATTTTGTTTATATCGCCGGTGTCATAATCTACATTAAATTGGTCTATGTTGGCATCTTGCAATTTTAAATTAGACATACGCAAATTTCACAAAAGATTTAAACAATTGATTTTCCTTCTCTTTGTCTCATTTTTATTCTGATTATTATCTTGTTAGGTTTCTTTTTCTTCTTTTTTTTTTGTCACGACTGTCTTTTAATATGCTAATTATACTGCATCATGCAGCAGAAGCACACAAACACCTCTTCACAACCTTAGGAAACAAGAGGTCACGAACAAAAGTTTCCTTTTTTAAAAAACCTTTTTACATGTTATTAATCTCAAAAGCGATAAGACCAAGTATCTACATACAATGTCACACACAAGGATAACTTAAACATACATTTCTTAAAATGTTCAAAATAAAATATAAGTATTTATAAATATCACCCAAGGATGTATAGTGCATTACTCTAAAATTTTGACAAAAATAATACACTGAAATTATTCTTCTGCTAGTAGATTATTAACATTGTTTCTATTAATCAATGGCAATTTATTTATTTAGGGGAAGTAAAAGCTGCAGAAAGTTATCAAAGAATTCTGGAGGACAGCGAAGAGATAATTTTTAATGTAAGTACACTAATGAAGTTGCATGCCTTTACTTGCAAGAATTAATGTACTTTATATTTCATAATCAAGATTCAGAGACAGTTTAACTCGTATCATTACAGATAAAAAGATTTCAGTGTCAACTCTGTAAAACCAGAGCTTTCTTGGCTAAGAACAAGGACCCCCAGTCGCAGAAGTTGGGCTCCATTTTCTGCTTTAGAAAATCAAACTTGACTGAGCGGATGACAACAAAACTGAAGAAGCTGCTAGGTCAGCGTGACCCAGAGGACTTCTTCATGATTAAATTCCAGGATGTGAACTAAAGAGTGGGAAAAGAGAAACTGTAATTGACTATAAGTTTGAGACTCTTTTGTGGATCAACCATCATCAACTTTATCATCATCATTCATATTTCATCTTCACATCAAATCATCATATCATTACCACCACATCTACAAATAACTGACCATTGTAAATATTTAACATCTATATATTATCATCATCATTTTTTGTGATATCTCATTTTGATTAGGCATTTTCATGACTTTTTCTTCATTCACCTAATAACATTCATCATCATTTACTATAAGTCAACATTTTCAACATCGATAAATAAACTCATTCCTCATCCTCAAGTTTGTTTTGCTTCCATGGTAAAAATTCTAACTTTTCCAAATTTTTACTGAATTGTCTAAAAAAAAAAAATCTGATATGTTGGACTAAATAATAATATTATACTGTAATCATTAACTATAACTCTTAAGCTCTTGACTAAATTTTATAAATTTGACTGACTCAACTTATAATATGTTTGATTCTCTAGTTCTAAAGAATGAAAGAGTTGTTGAAAATTTGTCTTGTCAGCAAGTCTGATTACAAAAAACTGGAATAATGAATTCCTTGAAACATAAAACAATAAATAAATGAAGATTCTAAACTGACAGACCTTTGGTTTGGGATGACAAGATCTTGTCCTTTTTTTTCACTCTGAATGTGTGAACTTAAGAAAATCATGTGCTGGCAAATTGCAAAAGTGACAATGTGTTTTGACTTGTATTAAATACCCAATGTTTTTACCTTGCATAAACCTTTTTAATATTTATTTCGTATATAGTTCAGAAATAGTGAGAAACATTGTGGACATGTCCAAAAACAAAAAAAAAAGAAATACCGGTATATAAATAAATGATTTATATTCAAAGATCCAAAATTCAATTTTATTACATCTTTTCCTGGCTCCTTTAAATACTACATTCAAAAAACAAGAAAAGAAAGACAATTGCAGGATTTATTTAATCCATTAATAAAAAATAATTTGTCTTTACATATTAGTTTTTTGATAAATTTTGACGTTGGGCTTTAAATTTTGATACCCGTACTGGCTTCTGAATTTCCTCTGACTGGGCAGCAATTTGTGGACTACTTTCAGAAAATTTCTGCTCCTTTGCAACTGTTGGCATAGGTTCTGGAACTTTCTTCTCCACAACAACACCAGAAAATGCCTGAAGAGACAATGGTTGATAAAAACATTTAATCAATGTTAAAATTAATTTAAGTATTCTTTAATAAAAGGGAAACTGTCCACTTCTTGCATATAACCAAACAGGTAATATTACTGCAATTTCAGCAGTTCTTTGACTCAAACACATCAATAACTTTCTAGACAGTGGGGTGCAATATCACAAATGATTCCATCCAGCAAAGAAACAGACTGATGATACTCACTGTTGGCAATGAAGAGGGTGGACCAGTTAATGGGGCTCGCTGTTTGTCAGATTTTTTCTTCACATTCACTCTCTTTACATCACTGCTACTGTTTTTAAGAATGGATTTTGGGTCTGGCTTGTAGAGTCTGTAAATATCCCGAGGGCTTTTTACTTCACCAGTATCTTCCTCTGAGCTTGTTTCCTTTGTTTAAAATGAAAACAAAGATTTCCTCAATGGGTTTGTCAGTGATTTGTTTATATATATTTCCATTTCTTTTTGTTTTCTCTGTGATAACTCTTTGAAAGTTAGTTGAGTTGATTTCTTGATCATTCTACCGGAATGTAAATTTCGCCAAGTGAAAGGTCAGGAGCTAAGAAGGACTAATATGCATGTAATTCTCGTGCGGCTGTCTTTGTGTCTGATGCTAAGGAGGCCTAATATGCATGTAAATCTCGTGCAGCTGTCTTTGTGTTTGACGTCAGTGGGCGGGGACTATTGAAATTGACATGTGAGGCGTAATTTAAATCTATTAAATCTAAATTTACAATTTTATTTCACAATGAAATGGAAATATAAGGATTCGCCCGTTATGCAAAGAACAAGGTACAGTTTCAATACAAATGTAGCCCTGTGTTTTTCTTAAAAATTAAAGTAATGTAAAAAAATTAAAACTCCTGCTTTCTGAATCATTTAACTTCCATGCAGAAAGATCATACAAATCATTTTTCTCACATGACCTTCTAAATGCTAATTGTGATGTCATAAACTTGTGCATTTTCCCGTATTTTCTTAAAAAGTTGCAGAAGACAACAATTTTCAATGGAATTTTCTTTCAGATAATGTTGTCCACAGGCATCGCCCACAAAGATTTTGAGATATGTGATTTTTCAAAGAATTTTACACAACATATCCGAAAATTAAAGTGGGCGACGGCTGTGGACACTATTTTCTTAAGGAAAATAACTCTTGAAATGGGTCATTGAGGCTTTTTCTGTTTAAAATAGAGAAATGCATCAAATTAATGACATCATATTTCCAGAATGGTACTCCTTCATGCCATATTCTTTCCTGATTTATCACAGCCATATACTCAACTAAAATTTAAGCCAGTTTCAAAACCTTTTGAAAACATTAAATTTTTAGGGCACAATAAAGCTGAAACCGTACCTTCTTCTTATCCCACGTTTCCAACTATTGTTGATGCCCTGGCATACTCTACTAATTAGACAGTGATTCCTTAAATTGATTAAGGAATTTCGGCATAGGAGATTTTTTATGCCTTTTTTTTCTTTTCAATGACATACTCATATCTATAACTTTTCTTCAGAATTTCCCAAAATAATCTAAATATTTAAGATTATCAGCAGATACTCACTTCTTGTTTTAGTCTATCTTCTACTTTTGCATGTGAGAAGTTGATGACCTGTGTCTTTCTCATTCGTTGACTCTCTTCCTCTTCTTCAATATCACTTGAAAAATCATCACTGTCTCCAACTTCACTTTCTTCATCAGACTCTACTATAGAAGATGACTCCTCCTCTTCTTCTCGGAAGTGAACTTTTCTGGTTCTTTGTTGTTGTGGTAGTGATGTTACTGATGTGTCCTCTTTCAAATTTTTCAAAAAATCGACATCGGCTGTTTCTGTTCCTGAAATTCTGCAACACAACAGAGTATATTATAAATAATGTTAAAGCCTTGGTGGTATGATGTAGAATCTGTCTCCAAGCATTTGATGAAATTTTTCCAATTTTTTTTTTAAAATTTCTTGAAATGTTTCACTAAATTTAAATACACGTAGGAATTGTATATTTCATTGTATAGTTCTTGGGAATATGTGTGTTCTATTTAATATACAATTAATTTCATGTTATTAATTCCATTTCACCTTGGAAGTTCCTGGCGTTCGGCTTCCTGTTTCTCTAATTCATCCAACCTCTTCCATATTTCTTCATCTGTAAGAGTTTTCTCTCTCTCCATAGATTTTCTCTCTATTTTCTCTTTCTTTCTTTGTCTCTGTATACTTTTCCTGTGTTCCTCTGCATCAAAGTGACAAATTATCTTTTTATGCAATCAGCATAGCAAATTAATTCAAATCCTCTTGATTGTAAATTTCAGTGGCCTGAAATGTAGACACAAACCTCTCCACAGCTTTTCCTTATCAGCATCATATTCTTCTGTTATTTCAAAGTAATCTTCATTCTGGTTGTATATAAAATATTAAATCATATTTGTAACATCCATGTCCTGTATTACAGTAATTTGATTTTTAGACAGTGAACCAAACATACAGTGTACATGCAAATTATCTGCCTTTGTTACTTTCATGTGTTCATTAAAGAACACTCATTAAAGAGTATTGCTTTAATGGGCCTAGAAAATTTTTACAGTGCTGACATTAAAAACATGATACTGCCCCTAAATGATAAAAGTCATGTCATTTCTCTTAGGCAGATTATACATTACTCAGATTGATCAATTCTAAATCTACTACTAGCCATCAAATTCACAAACTTTATTGGTGCCAATTACCATTGTTCCTCCTGGAATGTTCTTTGTAAACTCAAGTCTTGGTTCAAGAAGACGTTTCTGGGCCTGAAGATCATCTATTTGTTTTTGCACAGCTGTGAAAAAGACACTGAGTTATACTCCAATTGCCCTCAGAATAACTTTTTTCTTGTATGTGTGTGATTAAATATTGATAACATCTACATTTGTATGTCTTTACAAGTATATGAAAAAATTCCCATGCAATTAACATGTGATTAAAAACAAGAACTGTATAAATGCTTACTCTTTATTCTTCTGCCTATGATCTCTGTTGCCTGTTTGGCAGATCTCTCGGCAAACCAGTTGTCTCCTAGCAACACAAGTATCTCATTTGTATGAATCAGTTGCCCAGGCATAAAAGCCAAAGGCCCAAATGGTACCTAAAAACAACACCTTTTAAACTCATATCCATCACACTACTTTTAGTACACTGCTTGTTTATTATGTTTATAATATTATGTGTGTAACTTCAATTAAATATTGCTAAATCATGGGGAATATTCCAACACAATTAAGAGGAGTCTTCAATACTGATAAAACATTTATGATGATGCTTTAATCACTCTTATACACTGTACATTATGACCATAACAAAACAATACTCCATTTCATTAATTTGGAAATAAGTCATACACACTGTAATACAAACCATTTCACACACAGACACAAAAAAAAAACATCGATCATTCTCAGTTTCCAAATGGATGAATGCTTTATTTATTGGGATATAGTTAATTTCCATTATCAAAATTTATTGATGTATGTAATCAAAATATTGATGAGGAGCTTCTAACATCTTATCAACAAAGACAACTTACCATGACATCATGTTTAGTCTTATCTGGCAATGTTGTCAGTCGTTTCTTTAGTGCTTCATAGTCTGATCTGAATGTTTCCCTGTTGAAAGGATAATTGTCCGTCATTATAACTTACTTATAAAAACCATGCATGTTCAAGATCCATAAAACGGAACTTCTTCCATTGATTTAATTGATCTGATAAATTTTTGCTATTGAAATAAGGAGTAAGAAAGGAAATAATTGAAAAAAGTACATATTAATAATTGTAAACCCAAGTACAGTACCATTGTTTAATTTTTCTGTCAGTTTCAAAGAGCGCAAATTGTTGTTCCTCCTCAAGTCTCTTAATGTGCTTAAGGTCCATATTTTTTTTAACTAAAAGGTTCTTCTACCGATATATTTATTGTTAAATCCTTAGTCTCAAACTTATATTAGTCTCTCAATAATTTTCCATGCGACCGTCAAACAGAAAGTAAGCACAGGAAACAAAGGGCGCTCACTAAATGCGAAATCTACAGAAGAGAACACAAAAAGACGGATAAGTAAAATAATTTAAAATTAATGGGCCACAAAGAAAAAATTAAGAAACCTGCAGTTTTCAACAGCAACAACAACAAGAAGACCCTCCCCCCCCAAAAAAAATGTTGTTACACACAAGATTATAAAGATATCTGCCCCCCCCCTCCCCCCCCCCCCAAGTGCAAGCATTATTAACCGCACAGAGGCACAGTTGTTACAAAATTTCAATGTTCAATCCAAGGGAAGAAAAAGAGGAAAAAAGAAGATAGGAGTTGACAAATTGATTGCAGGAACTTTTAAATCACTACATGTATGAGTTCATTGATTTTGAAAACTGTTATTATTCTAGATAGAAATAAAAATACTTTTGCTATGAATGAAACTAAAATTGAGTTGGTGGCAGTAGTGAAGCTTTTTTCAAGGTAGTGAGGCAAATGACCTAAAAGAAAATTTGTCCAAAATAAATGACAACCTAGTAGGTATTCAAACAATATCCAACCAATAGTACAAATGACTTGTACAAAGTTAATCATTAATTCTGCACGTGGAAAAGATAAAAAAAAAAATGAATTCTTATGATTTCTTCAATTTATTTTGAAATCCTATTTCACCTCAAAATGTAAAGACATCAAAAACTGAAAATTAGAATGTACAAAAGAGATTATCACTGTGTCAGGTATAGTATAAAGAGATATATATACAACATGTACACTGTATTATTTCAAACCCAGCTGTATAATTATCATTTTGTTATACAGCCTAACACTCTGACGGAGAAGGTACAAGTATCCATACAGTATAATTTTGATATGGACAGGAGATCTTTTTAAAATGTCAGATATGACAATATGACATAATGTAGGTTGTCTTATGATCCTGATAATGACACCTGTACTTCTCAATGAATTTTTTTGGACTTTCTCAAAGGTCAAGCTAACTTCGCCATGTAACTTCAACTTCATCTGTTCGAAATCTGAAATGCATGTAGGTCAATAATTAGATACTCTAGCAAAATAGCTTTATCCCTATATATATATATATTTTATAAATGAAAACAATTATTCATATTTCAATGCCCAATAATAGTACATTACCCCCACTCCCACCCCACAACCCAGCAACCTCACACCCATAAAACTATACAATATGCCCCCCCCCCCCCTTTCACATCTCTCACCATTTCACACCATTTGTGCTCTTCATTAATGATACACAGTGAACTTGTAAAAATGTTTAAGTGTATACAAGAATATGATACAAATAGATGGCAAATGCAATAAAGACAAAATTATAATATAAACTGCTTTTAAAAGAATGAAAATAATATACAGAATAGTTACCTTTGTGTGCAAGATGTCTCCTTGAGTGGAGTTGTCTGTCCTGAACAAAACATTTCCCATCCTGCTTGGGCAATCATGGCGCCATTATCAATGCAGAACCTAAGTATATAAACATTTTTTTCCATCAATAAATATAAAATTAGAGTATTTGATGTTTATAGGAGATGAGTTTAAAACTACATAAAAATAAAAAGCCACTACATTTTAGAAACTAATTTTACTTTACAAAATCTTAAATATTTTCATTAAAAATTCAGAATTTAAAATTGGTAACAATTCAAATTGCCTAAGTATCAAATAAATTTAAAGCATACCCTTGAATTCTAACTGCACAAGGAATCATGGAATCATTATTATATTAAACTGATGTGATTTTTATAAATGATAAGTATGGATTACCTTTCATCTGTAGCATAAAGCTTGGCACCTCTCTCTTTAGCCATGACTTCCATCATGGCCTGTAGTCGCTTGTTACCTGTGAAATAAACACATCAAATTATTGTTACTGTAATACATTCACTACATACATTCGGGATCAAGGATGCATACTGTAAAAGTCTGGAAGAGCACTGGAACTTTATAAACACTAAACAGAACATATTTACAGACGTTGAAAAATCTTTACAATAGTCAAAAAATGGGAATTTTATTGTATAGCTGCTTTAGTTTAGGTTAATTTGACTTTCATAGCTTCAAAAGATAGGAATCTAAAGAAGAAAAAAATTAGGGAAGAAAATTTTATGGAAAACTGTTTACACATTTAGTGTATGACATTTTTATTTTGCTGTACAAAGCATTTAAATGTATCTATAAAATGCTCTTTGTGATTTCTATTTACTGATAAGTTAGATATTAATTCAACTCACAGCCAACACCTCCAACAATGAGAACTTCTTCAGATCCACAATGAGCCATGGCACGCTCTGAAGAGATTTTTAATATAATTAAATATGCATTCATGTAAAAGAATACATCTAAACAAACTAGATCTGTCATAATCACACAGGAAAATCTATATCAATCACTCTTTAAAGATGAGATTCCATGGTTCTGATTTCATTAGGTTTTACTGTCGATTTTTATTGAAATACTTTTGAGATTAAAATTGTTTTACACTTTTTAACATTTATATTCAAATGGATCTGCTGTGCATAAGGTGACATAATTTGAAAATGACATCATAATAGCCTTATTGAATAGCCATATTGTAGAAATTAAATTTTTAAAGTGTGTACATGTACCTGTAATTTCTATCAACATGGCAAACACAGTCTCTTGTAGAGAAAAGCAGAGGTCTTCTGGAGAGTAGTCTCCCTTGTCCAACAGCTGTGGTGCTCTCTCCTACAACAGCAATCAATAAAAAGTTTTTAAAATTGGAATTTTGTTATAAATCAATTATTAAATACTAAATAAATAACAAAATGATTTTACTTAAATTGACTTAATTTCTTGGTGGAAAAGAGAGGAAGGTGTGTATTAATTATTTTTTAAAAGTTTCATGTCAGGAAAATTGCTCCATATATGCATTAATATATACATATATTTATCATAAAGTTTATACATTGTATTACAATTCAGTAATGAATTACCTCTATAAAGGAGAGTAACCCTGAGAAAGAAACATCCATTCCTTTAACAACATAAGGTAGTTCTAAGAATTTCTTTCCTCTGAATTACAAAAGAAAATATTCTTATTGTTTTAACCAATCACAAAAGTTTTTTTGTGCTTGTAAATTTTTTCTACCATGTTTCAAAATTTTAGTCTGCAATTATCATTACAGTAATGAAGCTTGTTAGTTTATCTTCCAAAAAATAAAAATACATTATTATGTAATACATATATACAGATACAAATATATGTGAAGTGTGCATTTCTTTACATTGTCACACCCTAAAAAGGCATATAAATGGATATATATAGATACAAGTGTCTCAAGTGAATTTGCCTTGTAGCAGTAGATGGGAATTTGTTTGGGGATCAATACCCATGAATAATATGTAACAGTAAAGGAGAAAATGTATGGCTGGACCGGGAATCAAACCCGAGACCCCTGCATCACTAGTCAGGTGCTCTACTGACTGAGCTACCCAGGCCAATATCCACGGCCCAAACCATTACATTCCTCCCTCCTTAATTTGTCTTCGCCCTCGAAGACACAACCCAAGTTCTTATTTGCCCTTGGCAGGACTTTCACCTGCAAGTCCAGGGGTGGTCAATGGCACCAAATTTGTAACAGTAAAAAAGAAAATGTATGGCTGAACCGGGAATCGAACCCAGGACCCCTACACCACTAGTCAGGTGCTCTACTGACTGAGCTACCCTGGCTGATATCCATGGCCCAAACCATTACAAATATTTGTTGTAAAAATGCCTCAAGTTTCTATGCGCTTGTGTGTGCCTATTTAAACAACGTTACAAATCAAAGTTTGGGGAATTATAAATAGTTTTTCATAAAAAAAAACATGCTGGAATGTACATGTATAATAAAAGCTCAAAATTTATTTATGACATATTCATGCACTTACTTTTTTGCCAGTTGTTCTATATTATAACCAGGACTTGGGTCATTTGACAGCTGAATATTGAAACAAATAAAATTTTTAAACATGTTTCCTTCCATTTTACTCTCCAGTGGTTTAAAATTCCATTATCAATCTTGAAATTTATTTTCTGAATTACAAATTTTCACTAAAAAGAGCATTGCAAGTTAGAAATTCATTAACAATATATATTTTTAACACAGGTAAAAGCTTTACCTTTAAAACCCTTGCAAATCTATCAAGACAATTTCCAACTGCAATATCTATAGTTTCCCCAAATATGCGATATCTTCTCTGGGAATAAGCAATCACCTGCCAAAAAAATTTTCTATTGCAGGAAACTTCATCAGGCACCATAACAGAAGCTAAATGTATACATTACTACAGATATTATTTGATATTTACCTGTGTATTTCCTCCACTCACATAAAGGACGGTTGGATTAACGGCTCCAGTGACTAAACGGCCCATTTCTATGTCTGCATCAGGGTCAAGGACAATACAATTGTAATTCTTATACACTTAAATTAATATTAATTTATGAAATAAAAGTACAAGTGGTATTTTTCAAAACAAAATGTATACATTCCTTGAAATCAAATATTGGTAAGCAACAAAATATTTCAATTTAGAAATTAATTATTAAAAAAAAAAAAGATTAAATTACTGACCAGCAGAATAATTCCAATCCTTTTGTTGGTGTCAATGATGATTCTTGAAGAATATCAGTATAAAGTAAAAGGATACGTCCAATGCAATGATTTACTGCAATAATCGGTTTTCTCCAAAGCTGTGCCACAGTCCTAGCAACAATAGCAGTGGAAACCAATGGTGCTCCCATTCCTGGACCTAGAAGGTAAAAAAAAACAACAACCCTCAAATCTCCCGTAAAATTTAAAAATATAAATAATTATATGACTTACATTTTTGTCACAAATGACAACTTTTTTGGAAAGGGGGGAGGTTAATGTTGTAAGTACAATTATAAAGTATAGGATAATCCGATTGAAAGGCCTATTAAGCAATTACAGCTAATATGCATACCTTTTGTATATGCAATAACATCAATTTGTTCTGGAGAAATGTTTGCTTCATCTAAAGCTTTCTGTAACACATCGAGTGCATGCTCTCTGTGATGTTTAGCTGTATCTTTTGGTAAAAACCCTGAAAAATAAATAAATAAACAAAATCAAGTAATTAAGTTTCAAAGTTTCGAAAAGTTTATCTTTTAATTTGTGGCTGTAGGGAAATGAAATTTTTTTTTTACCTTGACCTGGTGGAGTTATGTAGGTATGTCGTGGATTAGATAAGACAACTCCATCTTTAACAATACCAACTCCAAGTTTATTGGCACTTCCTTCAAATCCAATTACAACAACCATTGTTCACGGAATTCTAAAATCAAGTTTACTTTGATTCACTGTAGGAGTGTCATGATTGGAAAAGAAATTAATGCTTGTTTACAAAAAGTGCAATTTAGTGCTGCCTGTTGTTCAGTAGTGTAAAAATAACACAATGCAGGGGAAATTCTAACCATGTGGATAAACAAATCAAACTGGAACTTGATGAAGAAACATAAAATTAGAACCGAAAAAGTTAGCAATTTGTTCCTTAAAGTATTCGGTAGCATTCATTTCTGGTTTCTCTCGCTTTTGCATGAACACATACTTTAGGCTCTTACGTAGTTTTAACTCAGGTATTTAACATTGACATATTTTATCAAATAATTTCTTTTTCTTTGGAAAAAAAAACTTTGCAAACAAAATAAATATTACTTTTATACCAGAATAGTTTATTGAACGCCTTAGCAAATTTGTGATATTCCGGGAAAAGATTTATGATGTCAGATGCAAAGATAAGATGGGTAAGTTGAACTTCAGTTCCAGGCTTATTTTCAGGATCTGTTCTGCTGACGTGCCACTTGTCAGTGTCTAACCCTGTCTAATCATGCTAATAGATCAGTAGCCCTTCACACACACAAATCTTACGACTAAGATTGAATTTGACAACTCTGCAAATCTGCAATTTCTTGTTTAATTAAGATATTCATTCTTCCTTACTGGTTACTGGTATTCACAAAATTTTGTAATGTAATAGAAATATTTTTTTGATCTACTGTAGCTTTAATACATTTTGGAGAATTGGGAACTTTTGTCTAAGATATTTTCTAAAAAGGTCCACAGTATGAGAAAAAACCTTTTAAAATCATAATTCATAAGAGAAGGGGGGGGGGGGGGGGGGGCAGACCCATTGGACTACTTTTAAAGGGAAATGTAAATTCAGATACCCCATGAATCACATCCTCGCAAGCCAGGGGTCCTGAGTCAACACGTTGCCGTTGGACCCCTGGCATATTTCATTCAATATTTGTGGGCCAACTGTAGCGATGTCTTTCGGAAAAATTACAAATCTTTATTGTTTTTCTTATCTCTCAACCAATCACATTAAGCCATTCTATGAAAAACAGCTTGTAACACTTGCATTTGAGGTGTCAACTGAATCCTTATCTAACTATTTATGAAAGCTTTAATTTGAATGGTGCTTCTCAATGAGAGAAGCAAGCCCATGAATATTGAATGAAATATGCCAGGGGTCCAACGGCAACGTGTTGACTCAGGACCCCTGGCTTGTGAGGATGCATGAATCAATGTGAATATCGATGTGTGTGTTAATTTAGTTGTGGTAGTATTTACCATGTTAACAATGTGCATGTTTCTATTTTTAAGGATCATGAGGATCCAATGAAACAATATATAGAAGATAAAAGAAAAAGAGAACAGTCAGAAAGGTAATGTAATTAAAGTCATATATGGCGTATTTTTTATAAGTTCAGACTAACTAAAATTAAAAGATCTTTCTATTTGTTTCATTACTTTATATAAAGATAGGACTTTCCTGTAAATTACACAATTTAAATCAATCACTTTTCAAAGATATTAGAAATTTAAAACAATAAACGATTTATTTACCAACTCTGCATTTAAATAACAGACCACAGTTTAGAGTCAATTTAACTATGGAAACATGAGGTTATTCAAGCTCATGATCGATGAAAATTTTAATTTGAACGTAAGTAATATATATCATGTTTATCTACACTCAATCTCGTATTTTTATTTTTTAGCTCAGATACATCATATATAGCTTTAAACAATTGCATTCACAAAGCAATCAGTCATTTTAACACGTTGAAATGAGTCTGTCAGACTGAGAATAAAAGAGATTCCACCAGTTCAAAATTGTGTATATTCCCGTATTTTAAAAAAATATTGATTTTAAGTTCATTGCTAAGTAATAAAGTCTCAACTCTGACAAATTGTAAATTATTGATGCAAGTATAGGGTCAAGGGATACATGTACATTGTACACTTCCAGAACACATGGACATCTGTAAATCATGAATTCCTCCTTTATTGCAAAGCATGAATTTTAAATCAATTCATCTTTCATCAAAAATTGTTGTCTGTGTCAATAAGTTTCTTTATATATATATGCACCATTTAGCAATCGTTAGATTTAAATTGATAAGACATGCACATGAATTACTCCTCTTAATTTATATATAAAATTGATTTTCCAGAAAAAAAAAAACATTTATACATGCAAGGGCTTTTCTTTTCTGTTTAAATATCTTTTTATGACTCTGAAGCAAGACTTATTGAAGAATTTTTTGCATAATTTGGTGTAAGCGTGATCAGATATTTTTTTTTTAAATTTCAGACTTGAGCAGTTGAAAGCTCTCGTCTTTGATTCTTCTTCGGACTCTTCATCTTCCAGTGATTCTGACTACCACAGAAAGCACAACAGAAGAAAATCAAAAAAGTCTAAAAAATGGTCATCAGACTGGAAATCTCGAAAGAAAAAGTCAGATGAAAGATCACAGTCTTCTGCCTCCAAGCCCAGTCAACTGAAGAAAGACAAAAAAGACAAAAAGAAGAGAAAAAGGAAAAAGTATGGAGAAAGTGACAGTGAATTTGAACGTAAAAGTAAAATGAGAAAACACGGCAAAGTGTATGAAAAGCAAAAACCCATTACTGTAAAAGTAGATGATTCTAGTGGAGTCTGGGTGGAAAAAAACACAAGTGATAGCATTTTGAACAAGACAGACACAAATGAATTGAAAGTTAATTCTAGGAAACATAAGCATAAAAAGCACAAACATAAACAATCTTCACATGCTGATAAACTATGAATGCCTGTAAAATACTCATTATGTTTCTGATTGGTTTTGATACGTTAAAATTGATTATTTGACTGTGGTGTAAAATTTTCATTGCCTATACCTAAATATTAATGCAACATTCTACTGTTTAAATTGAATAAAACTTATTAAGTTTTCATGGAAATATTGATCTTCATAAATAACACAAACACAAAATTGATGCGTATGTTGGTATATATTTTTGACTGATTTTGAATAAAAATGACAGAATAATAAATTTCTAAAATATAGAGAAATCGTAAGTTTTCTTTCGAGTTCAAATCTGAGGCTGCAGTGTGCCATTTTCTGTATGTTCAAATGTTTGCACACATGACATTATTACAAAATCTTGTAAATCTCTTCATTTACTCTTGCTGGCAAGCGTTATTCTTATTATCTATATGAACAAAAATCTTTTCGACTTGTTGCTTATTTCTGAAAAAAAAGTAAATTTGTTTTATTTATTCTTAAGGACTGATGATATGTATTCCTGAAATATCTGCTTTTGTATCTCTTCCAAATAGACCAAAAATATCTATCAGGATTGTCCCTAAGAATTAAAATAGCTGGAGACATTTAAAAAGTAGAAGGGGGCTTGGGGTGCCTCCCTTAACAGAGGGTTGAGAGGGAATACCAGAATAATCTGGGGTTAACCCATTATTTAACTAAATACATGTATAAGGGTGATTGATTTATATGTTAGTGGAATTTCCCTCTTCAGTGTTTAAATGAAAACTCTTCAAAAATGTCAATTACTACCAAATAATATTACATACATATATATATCATTATGGATGAGAAACCAAGATAAAGAATAAATTTCTCATTGCTGAAGAAGAACCAAACCAGTTATAATTTTCATGACTTTATTTCTAGGTGAAATAACAATTGACCTAAAAATGTACATGTACATGTAGTATGTAAAAAAAATACATGTGATATCACAGTTCTTTATATCACACATACATTTTGCAGTGTGCAGTTGGAAACAATAAATTTTAAACGAGAAGGCCAATGGGCCTTGACAGTCACCTGAGAATCATAAGTGTTACATGTGCCATATTAACAAGACGACCACCTTTTGCCAAGAAGAAAAATCTGTTTGCCATGTACAATGTACTCCTCTCTGTAAAAATATACAAAGTTTCAGACTATATAATTTTTAGAATCAGCTTACATATTATTCAAGCTTCTAATATGTCTTTATCAGTAGGTTATAACCTTAAAAAAAATTTCAAACTTTCGCAAAACTCTGTTCTTGTCCAAATGACACGATGATGATAAAAGGCCACATTTTTCATTACCGGTAAAACATGTAATCATGTATATATACATTTTGTCTACTAGATACTTTCAAAGATATATTTGCATTTTTCATACAAGACCAACATCAACTTTATCTGGGAATTATAAGGCTACGAATCTAAAAATAATTTACAAGGAATCATTTCTCAGTATAATCATGCATACATTTCAAGAAAAGCAAAATTTTCCAAGATATATCAATTAATCCCCACCCTCCATGTGGTTATAACCCTTGAGCCTACAGTCATGAACTTTGCAATTTGTTAAAGGGCATGTTATTCAATATAATTTACATAAAAGAGTTTGTTTTGTGGATGGCAACAGATAAAGAAAAATTTTTTAAACAAATTGCATTTTATAATTTAGCTCAGCCCAACCCTACAGTAAGGGGTCGTGTTTTTAGAGGGCTCATAAATCATTAATATTAGGTATGCAAACAATTTTCCTGCTAGATGTCCAGGGAAAAAAGAAAAATTTTGAAGATACTTTTGGTCCCAGCCCTCAGCCTTTTATTTTAGAGGAGGGTGGGGGGTGGGGGGGGGGGATTCACTTGTTTCTCCCAAGTAATAGAAGCTATATACCAAGTCTTGAGGAAATTGATTCAGAATTTAATTAATTTCAAAGAATTTACAGGAGAAGAAAATGTTAGAATGTTGACAGAAGATTCGGTCGTGATTATAGAATGATAAACAGGACTGATAGCAATACATGTAGGTCACCTGGGTGACACAGGTGACCTAATAATGCATAGCTGTACAAGGAATGCTTGCCTTACTGTAAAGTAAAAATAATCATACATAAAAATTATAAATATGTATCTTAAAAGCAGTTTTTAAAAATTAAATTTTAAAAAAATATTGTCCTAGCTTTCTTCTATATCATCAAACTCACATTTCATGCTAGTCTTCTACCCTTAATTTATACATGAAAAACAAAAGCATTTTATCAGAATAAATATATTTCAAAATATATGTACATGTAAATTAATTGAGCAATTTTGAACTTCAGATTTCACAAATTAGTATTGTAATGGCACTCAGTGGTAACACAGCTCAGATTGAATGTTTAATTTCTTATAACTGTATATATTTTCCAACTGGAACTAGTCATCCAATGGTTGCCCATCTTTGAACATTTTGTACATGGATTCACACTTCTCAAACAACTGGTCACAAGTAGTTGTTTCAATGGGAAGCTGCAGAAAGAAAATAAAATATTCATATTTACAACATGTACAGAGCTCACATATGAGATATACATATGTACTAGTTTATCATGCTTATACCAGGGCTGCATTCAAGACCATAGCCACTAGCCTAGCTGCTAGGTTAGATATCTAAGTCATACTGAATGCACTGTATGAATTAATGCTTGTTATGGCTAGGGTAGCATATCATTCAAGATTGTAGTGGCTGTACATAGAGGCCAGGCACTTCAACTAATTGAGCAAATTTAAAAACTAACACACTTGCCAAAATGTACAGGTTCCCTAGTAGAAACTGCCCACTATACTCTACCAGCCCTGCTCATATTGGTATAGCTTAAATTAGCATGCATGTTAAAATAGAGTTTTTCTTCAAGTCATGAGGTTCACAAGGCCAGCGCTTATACATGTACCCGGTTTCTATGGTGTTAAGTGGATGAGAGTTATTAACTCCCCCTGGATGGGACAGTATTTAAGCTGTTACTCAGATCATGTGGGTGCATGGACTGAGACATGCAGATAGGTGGCACATATTAGGTGCCTTTGTCTAAGGACACGGGACACAACATCAAGTGCCCACAGCAGAATTTATACCATCAATCTTTCAGTTACTTGCCAAACACCTTTTAGTGAGATGTAAGATCCTTTCTAAATACTACTGCCTCTTTAAATAGATCTCTACCACAAAGGTGTGAATGTCCACACCCTTCTCAAACATAAAATTACATGAAAAAAGTAACATAAAACTGTCCAATCAGAAGTCTGTGATGAGACTGTAGCCCTACTACTTTTTGAATTCATGAGTGTCTTCAAATTGCACTTGAAATTGTACCAAAGAAGAAATGATTTTTACATCTACAGAACAATGTATCTATTTTTGAAATTTGAATAAAGTTTATAAAAAGTGAAGGAATGTGCAAGTGTCCTCTTATATTGTATGAACAAGAGACCCATGGGCCACAATGGTCACCTGGGTTACTATGGGCTTGCTATTCTACATCAGGAGATTTTTTCCAATATATTCCAGGATATGTAAAACTTTGATCCCAAGTTGTAGTCACACCCTATACCTGAGGATCAAGATTTGAATGAACTACACTACCCAAGGATGCTTCCAATATAACTACCGGTAATCATGCCTTTGCTGTACTTAAGAACATTTTTAAGGATTTTTATGCCCCTATCGAAGATTCGGGGGGTTATAGTTTTTGCCCTGTCCAACCGTCTGTCTGTCTGTTTGTCCGCAGAAACTTTAACATTGCCCATAACTTTTGATTGGTTGGAGCTATAGAGTTTGACTTACTTTTGGAAAACTTTAACCTGGCCATAACTTTTGAATGGTTTGTGCTAGGGCTTTTCTACTTTACATATGTAATCCTTGTGACAAGACCTTCTTTTGGATACCAACAATTTTGACCCTTTGACCTTGGAGTTTGACCTACTTTTGGAAAACTTTAACATTGGCCATAACTTTTGAACGGTTCGTGCTAGGGCTTTCACACTTAACATATGTAATCCTTGTAACAAGACCTTCCTTTGGATGCCAACAACTTTGACCTTGACCTTGGCGTTTCCATTCTTTTGAAAAAATTTAACCTTGGCCATAACTCTTGAACAATTTGTGCTACCTACAGCTTTCATATTTCACAAGCGTATTTCTTGTGAGAAGGCCTTTCCCTGGGCACCATTAATTTTGACCATTTGACCTTGACCTTGATGTTTGACTTACTTTTGAAAAACTTTAACTTTTTCCATATCTTTTCAATGGTTGCTGCTAGGGCTTTCATATTTCACAGGTATATTTCTCGAGACAAGACCTTACTTTGGGTAGCAACATATTTGATTTGCTTTGAGAAAGTTCAACCTTTGCTATAAGTTGCCATATGGGGACATCAGTGTTTCATAAAGTTTAACACATCTTGTTCCTATATATTCCTATGTCAGGGCTGTCAAAAAGATTAGGAACAGCTGTTACTTTCACAAAAATAGAAGGTACCTTGTGGAAGCATATTTAATTAAATATGTTATCAAATTTTTATTCAATAAATATTTTGGCCAGCACAATCATGATTTCAGTTGGGTAAAAGTACCAGCTACTGTCAGATTTTGAAAGGCCTGCTATGTAAAATTTTGATTGTCCATTGTGGCCCCACCCTACCCTCTGGGGTCATGATGTGAACAAACTTGAATTTACACTACCTGAAGATGCTTCCATATCAATATGACTAATTATGCATTTGCTGTTCTTAAGAAGACAATTTAAAAGACTTTTTCCTATATGTTCCTATGTAAAACTTTAATAACCTATTGTGACTCCTCCCTACCTTTGGGTGTCATGATTGGTACAAACTTGAATCTACATGTACACTATGTAATGAAGATTTCTACAAATGTTTAAACTTTTCTGGCCCAGGGGTTCTTGAGAAAGAGGTTTATAAAGATTTTTTCCTATATATTCCCATTCACAACTTTCATCCTATTCTGGCCCCACCCTGACCTCAGAGGGGTGGGTGGGGGGTGGGTGGGGGGTCATGATTTGACGAATTTCAATGAACACTATGTACTGTATTGAAGCTTTAAGATAAGTTTCAACTTTTCTGGCCCAGTGGTTCTTGAGATTTTTGAAAGATGCCATTTCATTTTCACTAATTTTCACTAATTCATAATTATCTACCCTTGAAAGGAGACATGGCCCTTCATTTGAAGTGACTTGAATCCCCTTAACCCAAAAATGCTTTGTGGCAAGTTTGGTTGAAATTGCCCCCAGTGGTTCTGGAGAAGACGAAAATGTGAAAAGTTTACATGTCTATGTCAAAGACAGACAATGGACAAATTTTGGAAAAGCTCACCTGAGCCTTCAGCTCAGGTGAGCTAAAAAGGAGAAACCAAGAAGACATCAAAGTCCCATCTTTAAATTTAAACTGCTATAAAAAATATAGCATCTCTATCCTTTTTTAAATTTTGCATGCAGCAGCTGCAGATCTGGTGAAATGAAGTTTGTCTCAGATACTACACAAGCTAATTTAAAAGAATCTTTGGTTTTCAGACAATAACATGAGTTGTGTCTATTGATTATCTGCTAGTTTCAACATTGAATAGTTAGGATCCTTTGAAAAATAATGTTTTCTCTGTAAAATAATTGATGTTTACATGTTCTAAAGCTGATTAATTATGATCATTTTTTTTTTACATGTCTGTCATACAATGACGGATTCAGTATTATGCAAGAATACTTATAGACCTGTAAAAATACTTCATTAACACCTTTGTCCCATTTTAGAAAATTTAAACATGCAATCACCATGAATGTTTAAAACTAATGCTGATTCCACACACCTTTCTTGATGTCACATATCTTTTTCCTAAGAAGGAGGTATTGCTCTCATATCTCGTCATTGGATCGAGCTTCTCTGGTTCCTGTTGAGATATCCAAACCTGTTAAGAAAATCATTTAAGTATTTTTATTTGATAATAATTAATTATATAAACAGTTGAACTTCGGTATCTCGAACACGGATATCTCGAATACCATGGATATGTCGAAGTGATTGGGAAGTCCTAACCACATATTTCTTGAGTATTTTACCCTCGATATCTCGAACCCTCAGATATCTCGAAGTTTTTTCTCAGTCCCATTCAGTTCGAGATAACGAGGTTTGACTTGACTGTACTTCACATAGATTCCATTTACATTCATCCAACAAAAGAAATAATTAACTGATAATAAATAAGAGCAATTCACAGAAAAGATAATTTGTCAATTTTTGTAACATTTTAAATAAATCATTTCTTTTCTGAAAATATCAGTTATGGCTTGGGTCCATCATGAAGTGTTGACCTCATTAAATATAAAATTTCTGTCTGATCTAGAGTACAGTGCATGATTTAGAGGTCAAAGTTAGTCTTCCACTCTTCTGTACAGACAAATATACAGCTGATCTTCGTTATCTCAAACATTAATATCTTGAATACCAGGGATATTTTGAAGTGAGTTGGTAGTCCCAACAACTTTTTCTTTATGTTTCTGAACCTTGTAATTTAAAACCTTGGATATCTCAATTATTTAATCTTGGTCCCATCGAGTTCAAGATAACAAGGTTTGAATGTATGTGCAACCAAAAGCATTTGTGGTTTGTATTAGGGGTAAATAAACACATGAAATATAGTAAATGTCATACCACGGCCAGGAACACGTTAAGTTCCTAGACAGTACCGTTGTCAGAAACCTTTAAAGTTAAGCACTGAAAGTGGTTCGTTGTCATGAACATACAGGTGAGGTTATGATAAAATCCGTCTGGTGTCATGCAAAAGATACAAGAATTTATACATAATGCCTAAAATTTAACGTTTTTGACAAATTCTAAGAATAAATTTGAATTTTGGGAAACAGATACAACATTCAGTATTCCATACAAAGATTTATCTATTTGATATCCTTAATACATTTTGAGGAGTTGTGGTTTGCGATCACATGCCCATGTGTGAGAGCATGATCGTGAGCTTGAAAATTATATATTTCTTATATTTAATTCATCGAAATGGTACTTTTATTTTAAAATATGAAGAGAAACTTCATTTAAAATGTATTAGGCAACTGACAGCCTTTTGTAGCTAACATGTTTTAAGAAATCGCAATTTATAAGCAAAAAGTCCGTTGTCAGTACATGTGAAGTTTATCTGGTCCGGTGTCATTTTTCTCAACATGCAAGTAAATCAATAAAATGCAACAGAAATGATCAAATATATGCTTAATTTAAAAGAATACAAATCATATTACAGATAATATTGAATCTAGGGGTCCTCTTAAAGCAGCTCACACGAACGTGCTTACTATTCTGCGATGTTTTATTTTCAATTCATTTTCTCTTAGGAACCTGCATCCTAGCTAGTATGCGCCGCAGCTAGATCAGCCTTTGGTTACTGAGCAGATTTTTAAAGAATTTCTGTATACCGTATATTCCAACGTAAAACTTATATCACCAATTATGGTCCCACCCTATCCATGGGGGTCATGATTTGAACAAAATTGAATTTCTTTATGTTTGTTTGTTTGTTGTTTTAATATCCCTCTAGAAAATTTTTCACTCATAAGGAAACATCACCACTTGCTGGTGGAGGGCCAAAAATTTAGACCTATTCTCAGAACTCAGGGCCATTAAGAAGTGTGGAATCTTTTTCATGCCAGAATCTACAAAATTAAAAGTACACTATGTACTTTCACATAAGTATCATTTCTTCTGATCCAGAAGTTCTTGAGAAGAAAATTTTGAAAGAGTTATTCTTAAATATTCTATTTAAACTTTGATCACCTATTGTAGCCCCACCCTTCCCCAGATATGATCTGAATAAAAATGAATCTACACTTTATAATAAAGCTTTCACGTAAGTTTCAACTTTTCTGACACAATGATACTTGAGAAGATTATTTAAAGATGTCACTAAATTTACACTAATTCTTAACTATACTTCCTTGAAAGATGTCATGACCATTAATTTGAACAAACTTGACTCCCTTTATCTTGCTTTCTGGCAAGTTTGGTTGAAATTGAAATTGGCCAGTAGTTCCTGAGAAGAAGCTGAAAATGTGAAAAGTTTACCGATAGACAGACGGACGACACAAGAAATGTGATCAGAAAAGCTCACTAGAGCTATCAGCTCAGGTGAGCTAAAAATGTCAACCCCTACACCAAATGAATTATATCGGCACTCGTACCAGAATTAAGCAAAAAAAAAAATGAATTCCAGATAAGGCCACATAAATTTAAAATTTAGATTCTCATCCTAATTTGCTAAAATATTGGGGCGGGTGGGCGGATTTTATTTTTTATTTTTTATAATTGAAAGTATCAACAAAACATTCTTACACGTAATTTTTACATTATGTGAATGCAAATATGAATAGATTTTATTGTTTTCATATTCTTTTAAATATCTACAGAAGATTCTTGTTATAAAATATTTATAGTTTTATTAACAAATTATCAAGTACACAAATACGGCACACGCCAAACAAAATGAGGTGCTGCATCCTAATAAATTGCATATGCATGTTTTCTCATCGACCTTTCCCCAAATACCTTATATTTTTACCAACAACCCCTTCTTTTCTGTGTGATTTATCACAGATTTCCACTGTCCTCATACATTCAATCGTTCTTGAGACTTGACATGTTCGACATTAAAATATATCACATTTGCAAAACAGGATTGTGTAAATCTGTGAAATATTCTACTGAAAAGCCTAGGCCTGAATAGTTTTAAGATTTAACATTTCCTTAGCACTATTATTCTCTGAAGTCTTTGGACGGTGTTTTATTATTTTTTTTTTTAATGCAAAATCACATACAACTGGAGATCGTTATTTAAAACTTGACCATGTGCATTTTCTTCGTCTGTTTTTACTTGGTTAAAATCTCTTTAAAAACTTGCACATGCCAGTGATGGTATCTAGATGTGTTTATATGTTATTTTTGTTTTTCTGCCTTCTCTTTACCGACAAATTATTCTTTCCTTACATATTTAAACTGCATTTATTGCCGATTTTTCTCCATTCTTCACGTAGTTTTTTGCTATAAATAGCGCCATGCGAGTTTTAATACAGACGGGAGATAACTCTTAAATTTTGACCCAGATTCTTGCTGAATAAAAATACATGAAAATAATATGTTTGGCACCCAAAAAGCAAAATAAAAAACAACGGGGCGGGGCACTTTGAGAGGGGCGGGCGGGGATGAGAATCTAAAGATTAATTTTACCTGGCCTAACATTACTACTGAAAAATAACTTTCAATCTAATATCCATGTATATATAATGAGAAAAAAGAATAGACTGATTTTTCAGATATCTAAAGAACTACAGTATTTTGACATATCATAGTCAAGTAAACCAATGCTGAACACAATTTTCTGAGCAACACCATTTCTCCCTACAGTATTGCGAGTAATGCTAAAGAAATACAACTTGTTTACTTATTTATCAGCCAAACACTTTGTCTATCCATCTGTCTGTCTGTCTCTCTCTCTCTTTCTCTGTGTATGTGTGTCAATCTCTCTCTCTTCATGACCTTAGGCTGTCCAAAGTTAATTCTATGTTTAACGTCATCTGCGCGCGTAGGTTTCAGAGAAATTGGCACTTTGAAAAAACAAACAAATTCACATTTTTTAATGTTTCTTTTCCGGTTTGCTCTTACTTTTAGCACCTAAAACTACATTCCATAGAGATAGACAATACTTGGGCCCTCTATGAGGTATATTTGAGCTGAGTCTAATCAGTCTATCATTTAAAGATACAGGTTTACTGAAAATGATTATTTAACCAAGAGTCTGTATATGGTTACAAATATTTACAGTATTTTAATTCATGTAGATGAGTAACGATTCATTTGTTTGAAAATTCTGTTTGTTTAATTTTTTCCTCCCGCCCTCATAGGTTTTGAAGTTTATAGGTGACATTAAACGTAGGATTAATTTCAGCCAGCCTTAATAAATATTCAACACAATATATCGGCGACAAAATGTGCAAATGTTCACAGTACATATTGTCGCCGACGACAAAACTTGCCCATGCTTGACTGTACATATTGTCTTTCATTACGTAGGAGGAAGAAAAGGCTCGTCTCGGTACAAATTGTTGCCGGCGACAATATGTACCGATGGATGACGATATGTGCAGTCACAGTAGGTACATTTTGTCGCCGACGACAATATGTACAAAACGACAATATGTACCGTCACACTCCTCTTATTGATGGCATGCTTAACAATACCTAAAACAACATAAGATCGTCCTTCGTAATGTATAAAGTACAGTAGCGAAACGGACCGATGACAACGGACTGAATTTTCGTATCTTGTCATGACAACGGACAAAAAATGAAATAAATCAAAATTTTCAGTTTTAATTTGTTCTCATTTTTCTGTAAAGGCTTACAACATGTCTTGATACTGTCTGCACCAATTGGTGTGTATATTATATATTCTATTTACGAAAAATATAACATCTCAGTAGGAAAATGAATCAAATCCACAAGTGATTTCAACAGGGTTAATGTCACCAACGCAAACTCTTCTTTTATTACTTCTTTTTAACAGCTGAAATTCATACAACACCAAACAGGGTGTCAGACCTGTTTCCCATTGCAATTTCATACATTGTTATAAATAATTTAACCTAGAAAATGGAAAACTTCTCACAGTCTATCTTCTCAAGTCATGACACCGGACAGATTTTATCATAACCTCACCTGCATGTTCATGACAACGAACCAGTTTCAGTGCTTAACTTTAAAGGTTTCTGACAACGGTACTATCTAGGAACTTAATGTGTTCCTGGCCGTGATACTCTATCATTGACAAAATAATTCGTTATCAACTAACTTTTGAATACACTGTACTTACCAAAGACTCTGAACCATTGTATGGTGTCATGTTAAAGTTAGCTACAAAGATTCTCATCTGCAAATAGACAGGCACAATATCCATGTTAACTTTTTGTTCATCTTTAGTACATGTACCATTAGTTCAATTAGGGAAGATAAAATTTCAAAGTATAACAAAGGAATCTTAAAAGACAAAAGTTCCACTATAACTGTTATTACATTTACATGTATTTGTAAATTTGAAAACATTTATCATTGAAATCTGACACAAAGGAGCTTAATGATCAATTTATCCTATGTTAAGTTACAATGGCAACACCACTCATCAATGGCTTAATTGATTTAATATACAGCATATATACTTTTCATGTTACAATTTTGTTTTAAACCAAAGGACTGGCAAATAGTAATCCATTAGGAAAGAATGTTCAGCATATTATACACCAGTACAAAGGACAAGGTTCATTTGATATAATATTTGGCCCTGTGAATTTCTAAAAATTAAAGTTTACACTGAATCAAAACTTTACATTGAAAATAAAGGATGGATATATGCTTGTTAAAAAAATAAACCCAAACTTTGAGAATGTGTTCCCTGTATACTGTTTATTCGTGGTCAAATCATGCACGGAATGCGTATTTCCGGAAAAATCGTTAAAAATCAGAGACTTAAAAGCATTTTTCGATAGGTCCGCATTATATCACCACTTTGAAATTTTCACAAATGAAGCATCGATTTGAAAGCATTTTACATGCAAAAAATTACGATGGTGATATTGTGCGGACCATGTTTATTTTTCAAAAATGTGTTCATTTTTACAGCATGCAATACACATGCATTCGACGGTGTTTTGCTAGATATAAATAATATTGAGAATATACCTCGCCACGTATCGCTAAAAATCCTTTAATATAAAGGATGAAATCATTATATCAATGTTATGAAGATCTGGTCTGTATTAATTCTTTACACGTTGTTCGAATTCAGATACATTGGGCCTATATTAGTATAGCATCTCACTTCCGCGCTCCCAAACTAAGCGACAGTGGTCCGAGTTAGACTATATATCTGGACGTTAGGTGGTTGAAAAAAGTAGCAGTTCAGAAAAAAATGCAGTATTTACACTTGTCGTATAAATATTATCTTACATCTAGTTTATTCATTACCCAGTGCCTGTGTCCATATTCATGTCAAGCTGAACATGATAAAACAATATACGTCATTTTTGAAAATTGACGTCACAATGGTTTCGCCGATCTATTTGGCCTGTTGGGAAAATGGACCATATACATGTACAAGGACATTATTATCATTATTGTTTTTTTTTATTTATTTATTTATTTTTTTTTTGAGCGATTCTAGTGAAAATTAGAGCCTAAGTTTCCAAGATAGAAGACAATTAAATTGGCAAAATATCACAATAGATTTAACAATGCGCCTCTCAGTATAAAATATGTGCAATGTAGATCAGTTCCGAACATAATCTAGATTGTCATAAATGTTTTATCAATGACTTCAGTTAGCATTTTTGAAGAGCTCCATAAAAAAATACCCGTAAAGCCATATATATATCACATAAATGTATTTTGGTCACATCATTTCTCGAGATGGTCAAAAAAGGGTAATATATAGCATTTTATGTACTTAATAGCGATTAAATAAAGGTTTGATGTAATATTTACATAATGTAAAAAAAGAAAGAGAAGAAAACAATAAACTTGGGGGGGGGGGGGTATAATTACTACTTGAGTGATGATATCGGAGGGGGAGGAGTCGTGTCCAATTGCTTCTCTTAATTTATATTCTTAATATTACTGTAATTACTGTAGATCGACAGATCTATATGAATTGTATATAGAAACATAATATAGAAGGATAGAAGGAACGAATGGCAGAGGATAAAAAAGTGTTTCCCTTTGATTGTCAAGAATCACATCGTTTGCTTGTTATCCTTCAGGGGCCCGTTTTACAAAAGAACTTAAGACTAAGACCAAAATTTAATTCTGCTAATAACTTTCTAATTTACATTAAACAGAAAATGGTTTTAATCTTTTTAACAAGTATGTAGAATGATACTTTTACGCTAGCAATTGTAATCAGAATCAATAATTTTGCAAAATTTTATAATCAACTAAAGTTTTTGGTCTTAGTCGTAAGTTCTTTTGTAAAACGGGCCCCTGTATTAATGTCCGAAAATGTATTGCCTATCTGCGCGCACATGCAAAACTTAAATTCTGACTTGTATACTAAAACATTTTAATCTTTGCTAATAAATGATAATTATATATCCACTGATATCTGTGCATAAGTGAAATATTCTCGAACGGGGCTCGTACATGTAATGTAGTGATCATAGAAAATATAGTTGATTTTATTTTTGTTAATTGTTTCAACTGGAGGGACAAATTAAAATAAAATATAAACAGAGTGTCATAGAACATAGAAAATGATTTATCTAATAAATGTATTTTCGGTGTATAAGCATCGGATTTATTGTGAAATGGTTTCCACGGTGCCGGAATTTGTAGAAAATGTCGTTCTAACCATTGGTTATTGAAATAATGACTTCCTGGATATCAATATCTACAATTCAGTACGTACATGTATTCAAAGGCGGATCCAGCAACGGAGTGCCGGGCGTCCCCCCCCCCCCCCGTTTGAGATTTTTTTGCTTGTGTACATTTTGTTTCTTTAACCTGTTTATACTCTCAATTTATCCACACGTAACGTTCAGGCACGTAGTTTCAATGCTGATTCAAACTGGAAAAAATGTTTCATGTCGAAAAAATCTTAACCTACCCCCTTCATGTGTAAATGGTAAAGTTTTACTTGAAATTTCATCACCACGATGAACATAATGATACTTTTCCCACGTCAACTTTTTTTTTACTTTTCTAATTTTTGTCATCTTGCAAATAATCATTTAATTAATTATCAATAGACTGAATGTAGAACTATTTTGCTTTAATTTCTACGCCTACAAAATGTGATACAGGAACTATATATATTTCATGTAATCAAAGTTCTCATTGAATAGACCCCCCCCCCCCCCCCCCCATAAACATGTAAAAATGTATCAACTGTACTGTCTGCTTCCTTTCCCCCGAATTACAAAATAGAATTAATATTGCTCTCTATTTGTTATAAACAAAAGGCCATCTACTTTCAAGGGTTAACTTAGGCTCACAATTATATTAAATTGAGGTATTCTTAACATTATATTACACCAAAGTAATTGAATACAGTATTTACATATTGATTACCGATATAAGTAAACAACAGTGAAATCTGATTGTCTTTGAACAATTTTCCTGGGGAAATAATTTAAGGCAGGCACTTTATCCTTGAAATGAACTAGATTAGTTCATAATGTACACATTTATATGATAAAATCTTCTCATAGTTGAAAAATGTTTTTTCCTAATTGGTGTTTAGAGCTTCCTTAAAACATACGTTTGCGTAAGTTGTCATCACAAAGGTATCGATTACTTAGAGGAAGTAGTAAGGGATCAGCACCCCAACATCCACCACTTTTATAAAATTTATATAGTAAAATACCAAAAATATGAAGGGGGAAGGGTTAAAAAAACTTTGTAAAGTTTGTAAGATATGTAGGAAGGTAAAGTGACATCCCCCCTTTCAAAATAGGTTTTTTTCAGGTTTGGATTAGTTTTTTTTTTTTTTTTTTTTTTTTTAAAATAAGGTTTTCTCCTTTGGGTCGATCTTTTTTTTTTTTTTTTTTTTTTTTTTTTTTTGAGTTGGTATGGAATACCTCACTCCCTTTTCTGGGAAAAATTACAGAAAATTCCTCAATTGTGCTGTTACATTTTCCGCAAGTTGACATTGCTATTCCGCGAAAAATCCTTTTTCACCGTGAAGTACTAGTATTTTTTTTTCTTTTCCGCGAAATCCTCTAAGAACCAGGTAGTACCTTTAGCTCCATGTCTACAACGGGGATGAATTAATGTGAAAGTCTCTTAAACATCGTTAAAAGACCAAGTATATTGTAGGTCATCTTCGCATTAACCTATACATCTCCACAATGTCAAGGTTTTGTGAAATCCTTCCTATTTATAAAGGTTTGAAGAGAAACGATATCACAAAACTTTGACATTGTGAAGATGTATATGTCAACACGTATAAAACATCGTTAAAACATGCTGTCTGTTCAATAACCCGTAGATCCTTATATATTCATGTCGGAACAAGCTGCATTTTTAAAAAAAAAAAAATGATATTAATATAGCTGATAACTTCGATGTTGGAATGAATAAAATATTATAATATATACACAGGTAAACTTCTGTAAATCAATCCACAGAAAAGCAATGTCAAGTACTTGCGGAGAAGTAAACTGTGTGTTTTTTTTTAAATATAATGCAGATAAGCAGGAAGACCAAAATCTTGCGAGTCATACTGACATATCATTACACACAAATTCATTTTCTTGAACACCTGCAATCAAAATCCAAGAAAAAGTCTAACGGTCTTTAAGTCTTTTCACGAAGCTTGGCAATTACGGTTCGTCAAGTTAACAAACAAAGCCAATAACTTTGCTTGTGCCAATGCGAGGTGCGGAAAGTGAGAAATCCGCTAAAAATGTACTGTACATGTACACCCCCTTTTTTCCAAATGATTCAAAAATTTTCGAAGCCAGCCATACCAACTGATTTAAAGATTTGTCTTTAATTATGAAAAATAATTTAGAAAGCACGATATCCTATCACATGTATACTAATACATCGAAATGTACGTTTATGAAAATGAAAATGCATTATATTTTTGTGGGAGAGGACTATCTAAGTTTTTAGAACTTGTGTCCAATCCTTTTGACATATTGTCAATAAAATATGTAAAAAAAAAAAAAAACAAAAAAAACAAAACAAAAAAAAAACAAAAACAAAAAAAAACAAAACAAAAAAAAAACAAAACAAAAACAAAACAAAACAAAAAAAACAAAACAAAAAAAAACATGAAAATGAGATTTAATTAAAGTGCATAATAGAATATACATGTAAGCTGGATTTATTTTAAAACATGACATTGAATTCTTGTTCATGACGTCGCATAAAGCAACGTCAAAATATCGCAACGTTATCGTAAACTATGCTACCTTTACGTTTATATAAAACAAAAATAAAGCTTTGTACATGCATATATTGATAATTTCAAGAAAAAATATACTCTCTCAAAGAGTTTTGAGGAATATTATTTAATTTTGACACGGGGCCGAATTTTGCGCCAAACGCACCTTGTCCTTTGACATAAGCAGTACAAAGGTCAAAGAAGTACATGTAATATTAGTCATCAAATTTAAAAACTAATAAACAGAATTGTGTTTACCGAGTTTCAGTCATATCAGGAAAAATTGTAATGGAGTAGCAATTGGGAATCCTTGTTTACTGACATCAAAGACACAAATTGGCAAGAAACTGTCAATATACAAGCTTTTCTGGTCTATCTACGACTTAATGTGATTTTTTTTCATTTTTCCTTCTATGTACATGCAAAGAATATATGTTCAACATGCATCCTTGCCACCTGCACCACCGTAAAGGAAGTTTATGACAGGAGAACTAATACATCAACTATAAATTCACCTGCAACAATGTCATCTTTTCATATCTTAAAATTTTTTTGGCTTTTTTCCCTTGGTTTTAGTGTTAGCCAGCTGCAGTTGTATCTTTTATTTTGTTATTTTCTACATAAATAATGTTCCCTCTTTTGGCACAATGGCATACCAAGACTTGAACATGTACAGTAAAAGACGCATATAGCAAAGTGACAGGGACAAACAATGTTGATTCATTATAAATAAAGTTTGTTTTAGTAAAACAAGAAGTCTGTGAGCGAATGCTCACTAGTAATACCCCTGCTTTGATGTGAATATACCCTCTCATGTTGACATCAAATTCATACAAAAATGAATCCTACCATTTGGCATGCCTAAACAAAGATTGTGCTAAAATTTCAAGCATCTTCGCTGAGTAATTGCTGAGAAAACTGTGACGGAAATTTGGTATGGACAGACACACAGATAAACAGGAAGTTGACATAAGATTAAAAAAAAATGAATCCCACCATATGACATGCCTAAACAAAGATTGTGCTAAAATTTCAAGCATCTGTGATGAGTAGTTGCTGAGAAAACTGTGACGGAACTTTGGTACGGACAGACGCAGGGATAAACAGGAAGTTGACATCTGATTTAAACAAAAATACATCCCACCATATGGCATGCCTACACAAAGATTGTGCTAAATTTTCAAGCTTCTGTGATGAGTAGTTGCTGAGAAAACTGCGACAAAAAAATTGTTACGGACAGACACACGGACACACAGACAAACTGACACACAGACAGACAGACACACAAGGGTAAAACAGTATAGCCCCCTCTCCTTCGGAGCAGGGGGTATAATTACACATAACAGATCCCCCAACTACATTATAAAGCAGAATCAAGCTTGACTTCAGTAAATTGTATTGTACTATAATACAAATAGATATTATAAAAAACATGAAGATATTGAATAATATATGTAGATATTGTATAATACATGTAGATATTTAAAAAGCACTTACGAGTAAAAAGAAAGGAAGCAGAATATACCAGATCCACATGGGGAAAATCTCATTGGTTAAGTTAGTCAGTACGAGGCCAGGACAGCAGGTATGGGAGTAGACTTTCTGCAGTGTAAAAACATGCATTATTTAAACTTCTTGTTCGGAAGAAACTGTAGCTCAACTGGTGGGAATTTGAGTATATGAGATAGGGAAAAAAGCATAATTTATACAGTCAAACTCAATATCTCAAATAAAGATAATTTGAATACCATGGATATAATGTTAAAGATATTTCCTGGTTCCTAATTTATTTCTATCTCATTTTTTTCCTTTGATTTTGAAAGTTTATTTATATATTCTGTGTCTCATGCATTTTTCCCTTCTAAATGTGACCTGTTTTTAAAACAGGTGTATTTTATTCTGACAACAAGAGGCCCAGGGGCCACATCGCTCGCCTGAGCACTATGGCTAGGAAAAAGCAGAAATCAGTTCAGTCTTGAAAGGTTGAAAAGTTTAAAAAAGTTTAAATATAAACATGGTTCAGGGGGGGGGGGGGTGCTTCCATTTAAATATGACCAATCATGGCTTTGCTGTTCTTGAGTAGAAGATTTTTAAAGATTTAATCTATGTTTTCCTATGTAAAACTTTGATCACCCATTGTGGCCCCACCCGACCCCCAGGGGTCATGTTTGAACAAACTTGAATGTATACTATCTAAGAATGCTTCCATATAAATATGACCAATCATGGCTTTGCTATTCTTAAGAAATAGTTTTTTTTAAAAAAGATTTTTACTATGTATTCCTATGTAAAAATTTCATCGCCCATTGTGGCCCCACCCTACCCCGGGGGTCATGATTTGAAAAAATTTGAATGTACACTATCTGAGGATGTTTCCATGTAAATATGACCAATCATGGCTTTGCTGTTCTTGAGAAGAAGATTTTTAAAGATTTTTCCTATATATTCCTATGTAAAACTTTGATCACCCATTGTGGCCCCACCCGACCCCCAGGGGTCATGATTTGAACACACTTGAATCTACACTACCTGACAATGCTTCCACATAAGTTTCATATTTTGAAGCACAGTGGTTCTTGAAAAGAAGATTTTTTAATGATGCCATTAATTTTTCACGAATTCTTAATTATCTCCCCTTGGAAGAAGGTGTGGCCCTTCATTTGAACAATCTTGAATCCCCTTTACCCAAGGATACTTTGTGGCAAGTTTGGTTGAAATTGGCCCAGTGGTTCTGGAGAAGAAGTCGAAAACGTGAAAAGTTTACAGACGGACAGACAGATGGACTACAGACAAAATGTGATCAGAAAAGCTCACTTGAGCCTTCGGCTCAGGTGAGCTAAAAACTAAAAAAATAATAATGAATACACTGAAATTTTCAATAAAATATTATATATGACACACTGTGTGAAACAAATAAAAACTGACAAAAAAGAAAAACAACAAAAAAACATGTAGAGTACATCTTCCATTGGAAATTCAAAATGTATGGTAAAAATGACTTTCCAAAGGTGTATGTCAAGTCAAAATAACCTAGTAAACTTAAGCAAGATGCTAATGCTAGTAAATTTAAAATTTGACAATTTTTTTAATAATCTCCCTTTGGAGATGGACCCACATATCACTCCACTGGAGCAAATTTGAATCTCCAACACCCAAGGACACTTTGTGGCAAATTTGTTTAAAATTGGTCCAGTGTTTCCAGCTAAGAAGTTGAACAAATGAGAGATGTACAGACAGTGCACAACACATGGAGAATCAAGGACTCTGACAGGTTTTTTCACCTTATAATTCACACTTCTGGAATTATTTTGAAATTAAAATCAATCTATACTAAGAATTTTTTTCCACTCTCAACAAAATAGCATGATTTTATTCCTAACAAGACAAAATAAATCAAATTTCTCCGCAATCTTGAAATCAAAAATTACAAATTGGATACACAGATGCGTGATTAATATCTGCCAAGCAGGTGTAATGAGCAGGTAAGATTGTCATTATACCTTCGTTAACTATCCCTGGCAGATTCTGTTTTGCTAATTCAAATCAGACTTTAAAAATGGATTTTTTTGATGATTTTTTTTTCTTCCCATTTTATAATAAGGCATATCAAAGAATTTTGTTATTCATTGAAACATGTAGATTGGGCACTTGTATGGAATGCATAAGGTGGTAAGAATTTTGTCTTTACTCTATGTCCCAATTAGTAATGTTCAACAAACTTTTGTAGTTTACTTATTATATTAACAAGAACGTGCTAAATAGAACAATATCTATTGTGCACCATTTATTTTAACTTAATTAAAATTTACAGTTTAGTAAAAAAGTTAAAAGAAGTAAAAGAGAACAAAATAATTTACAGAAGTAAACTGCTATGCCATTTTAATGTGATTTTGATAACCATGCAACTATAAGTCTCTGACAAAATTGTAGCTCTTCTGGTATATGTATGATAAATGAGGGGGGGGGGGGGGGGGTAAATTTGTGACATTAGCTATATTCTTTTATAAATTTTCTTTGAAAGATTTAACATTTTTTTTTATATTTAAACAGACAGAGAGGAGTAGCATATCAAATTTCATATAAATTTCAGGGTCCGCATTCATGGGAAAAAAAAGATTTATTTGATATAAGTCAAGGTAACACATTGGCAACTAAAATAATATTTCTGTATGTACAAATGTATCTACATGTGTACCAGTTTTACTAAAATGGGATAAAAATTATAAGAAGATGGATTACCTTTAAATAAAATATTGAAATGACAAATTATTCTATTTATAGTAACAGCTGCAAAACGTAAAATTGTCGCTAAGAATTGCTGTAAACCAACTTTTGTTTGCTTGCAAGAAATATTTACTAAAAAAATTATAAGAAGATGGATTACCTTTAAATAAAATATTGAAATGACAAATTATTCTATTTATAGTAACAGCTGCAAAACGTAAAATTGTCGCTAAGAATTGCTGTAAACCAACTTCTGTTTGCTTGCAAGAAATATTTACTAATCTCTACTTCTTTTACTTCTGAATATATATTGCCATAAATAATTTTTTTAAGTTGTGTATTTAAGTAGAATATTTTCTCAGATGCTAAATTACTGTAAATCACCTTTTATTCGCGAGAACTTTTTTTTCGCATAATTACGCAATATAGTGTGCTTGCGAAAATGTCATTCTCACGCATAATAGTAATCCTTATGATTATATGCTATAGAGCAATAACCACAATTTGTAAAAATTTTGTCCTGCTAATAAAGAGACATTGACTATCTCGCAAAAATGAAGTGTCACGAATATTAAGTGATCTACAGTAATAGTCACTGATTAATTTCAAAACCTTAGAAGCACAAATAAATGTTTATATTGTCACTGATAATAGTTGATTTATAGTTTACAAGTATAGGAATCATTGAGCATAGACTTTAAACAAATTTTTTCTCAAAATATAACAGGAGAATACTTCAGGAAATGCAGTAAAACTTGGTTATAAAGAAGTCACTGGGACCTGGAATTTTACTTCCTTGTAGCAAAGACTCTATATATCCATATAAGGAACCTAGTGAAAAGTAGCCTATGGGATTTATAAAAAAATTGATTTTAACTGAGATTTCCTTGTAACCAAGTTCTTTATAACCCAGCTTTACTGTTAGTGGTTTTTACCAAACATACTATCTAATGAAGTTACCGCTGTTCTACATTCATCAAATATTCAAACTTTGACAAAAATTTTATGTTTTGACACTAATAAAGTGTGTTTTATTGAATACAGATAAAAATTCTGAGCATCAGCATGCTTTGCTATTTGAAAATACTGAACCTGATTATTAAGTCTTGAGTTCAGAGCCACACTCATTACATCTATTCCAAACTTGGAAGAGCCATAAGGGTCTTGTCTGCAAAACAATTATAACACATTTGAAACTTAATTTAAAGATAATCAACTGTGTAATAATAACATCAGCATTCAAGGCAGACAACAGAAGCTAAATTATGTTAAAAAAAAGAAAAAAATTTTTTTTACTTATTATAAAAAAGAAATTAGTATGTACAATAAAATGGAATGGAAACATAAGGGAGGAAACTGTCATAGTCATGCATATATCTTGCAATAAATAAACCCTAGTATGAATACTGTATTTTGTTATATTAAATTCTTATTAATGCCCTATTTGGCATAAAATAATCATCTTCCCCAAAAAAATTACTGGTACTGTGGAATCATTATTGTTCTTGGGATCAATGTTCGTGGATTTCATGGGTAACCCTTACCCACGAATTTACATCCCCACGAACAATTATTTTGTCAACGTACTGATTAATTAAATCTACCAAATAAATGAGCTGCCAATGAAAGTACATCCCCATGATCCAATAAAATTTTGCTTGCCCAAGAACATTGACCCCCCTTGAATTTAAATGATTCCACAGTAATTAACATGAATATTTGGCTCGCCTCCCTAAGGCTAGATCACAAGCCTTCATGATCCAGGGCATGGAAAGCTGAATTTTAGTGTCCATACAATTTTTTCATCAATGATAATGGTGGTTCTGCACATGATTCAAAGTAGCCAGCCAGTTGTGCATCTCAAGTTCCCATACAGCAAATAATGCAAAAGTTAACTATATGTATGGAGGAACAGAGTTTTTGCAATACTGAGTCCCCTACTGGTATTGGCTGTAACTCTCAAAAATCATCGTAGCTGAACAAAATCAAACTTGATCTTGATAGACTAATGCTGTTTAGAAAAATCAATTGGAACAGGCTAACTAACAGACAGACAGATGGAGCAGAAACCTCAAGTTCACAGGAAGGGGGGCTAAAAAAATGATACTATATCCCCTGCTTTAATTTTATTAGTACATAAGCAGCATATGGACCTTGACAGTCATCTGAGTTCATTTGATACAACCAAATCAGTCCTGGACAGAAACTAGAACTCTGAAGTCATGTGATATGAATTTTCAGTTTGATGAGGACTCTATGTTCATCATCATATTTGTGAAGTTTGTTCCTAGATGATGAATAGAAAACATTTTTACAGGTAAAATGCTTTGAGACATTTGATTAAGATCTGGGAACAAAAAGTTTTCTTGCTAGATGTCCAGCAATAATGTAACCAGTGTAAGTAATTAAATGTTTCAGTTTCAATGTTTTATTTTATAATTATTCTATTGTGTGTGTTTACGTTTGTGTTGTCATGTGTGATTGTCCACGTGTGAGTGTTTATGATTACTAGGTGTGACGTATTTGACCATTTCCGGTTTGACCAGTTCTGTTACTATTAATATCTTTCTGCTAACTTTCCCGCAACTAAATGATTTCCATGCACACTCGGCGCTACACCCTTTACGGGGATAGATGTATCTTAAATATTGTAGCTGATTTACAGTAAATAATGGTTTATGGTAAATATAATTATTTTAAAGACATATTTCTAATTATATTTATAATTAAAAGTAAAGTCATTAAAGATTTGTAAATGTTTATTAATTATTATGACTTTATTTCAGGTTTTCTTGTATATTATATGATTATTAAAATTATTCATCAACACCTATACAACTTGCTTTGTGTTGTATATCAGAACCTATCTACTGACACATGGTCTACAAATGGCGCTCACTTATAGTTCCACCCTGGGATTTGGGCTCTGGATCAAGTGGGTCATGAATTTTGCAGTTTTGATAAAGGGCTCGAGAATTTTATAAAGGGCTCAAGCTCATTGATCATAATAATCATGCAAACAGTTTGGCAGCAGTAAAGAAGACAGTCTAAAATATATTGCATTTGCAATATGTAACATGTAAGCCCAAACCTGGGGCCTGAGCCATAAGGTTATTAATTTCACAATTTTGGTAGAGGGCTTTTTGCTCATAAAAATCATGCAATTATTTTGCTTCCTTGATGTCCAGGAGTAAAGGAGTAGATTTTCTCAGATATAATGCATTTTTCAAATATAATCAACTTGGCCCCACCCTGAGACCTGGACTCTGAACCCAGGGGTCATGAATTTAATGATTTTGGTAAAGGGTTAATTGCTCATTATCACCATGCCAAAAGTTTGACAGCTTGAAGCCCAGGAGTCAAGAAAAAGATTTTTTAAGATTATATTCATTTTGATGATTTTGGCCACACCTCTCTGACCCCTGCGAGGAAGAAATGAAATTCTAAATTTTTATTCCTCTTAATCCATAGATGCTACATACCAAATTTGGATGAAATTTGTTCAGCTGCTTCCAGAGAATAAGCTAAAAAAGCTCAAAGTTCACAACTGATGCCAGATGCACAACAACAGATGAAAACAGATAGCAATAGGTCAATAAAGTGACTCAGGTGGCCTAAATAGAGTAAATGTTGTATCAAACAAAAGTAAAAATATTCTCATCAAAATTTGTTTCATTGATTTGTTTTAAATATATAGTATAAAGTATGTGCACTGTAAAACATATCTTTTATGTTAATTCATATTTATTTCTAGTGTCTGCAAAGAATCAGCGAGAATTTTATGGTTTTCACAGTTTTGCTTGGGTTTAAATGTTCAGATGACAGACACACACTCTGAGCATTAAACCAGGCAATAATGTGAATAACAAGTCTTCAACTCTCCTATCAAGGAATAGTGGACATCAAATTCTAACCTCACATGACAAGGTAAGTCTAAAACTGGAAATAAATATGGCATTATCGAAGATTTACTGAAACTGAAATATCTAATTCAACACCTGAATCCAACTTAAATTTAGATGGCGAGTCCTTGGAATTGAAGAATGAAAATGCATGATGCATCACTATTTCACTTTTATACAAGGATCTAAAGATAGAGTGCTACTGATTTTCAAGGTCATATATCAAAGTCAAAAAAGTAAAGTTTGTTGAATCCTTATCTACCAGCAGATGATATATTACTATTCTCTACATTAGTTACTTTAGAAATTTAATGTTGTAATAGGATATAATGCACAAAGAAAAGCCTGAGATTCATTTTGTTGTAGGTAAATTAAGACCTGGATCACTAGAAAAAAATGACAAATTTGATTCTGATTGCTATTTTCTCATAGACTCTGAGACAAGTAACCATGGAAAACCACTGGAAAGTCATATGCAGGGTAAGAATGGAAAAATTATACTAATTTTGAAGGTCAAGATATCAGACCTGAGAGTACTGAGCAATTAACGGTATTTCCATCACCGTTTTAAATGCCCCATAATTGGAGATTTGGGGGCATATAGTTTTTTTCTTGTTCGTCTCCTGTTTGTCTTCAACAAATTTTATCCTTGGCCACAACTTTTGAATGGTTGATTCTAGGGCTTTCATATTATAAAAGTATTTTCCTAGTGACAAGACCTTATCTGTACCAATAATTTTTACTTCATGACCTCAACCTTGGCATTTGACCTACATTTAAACAACTTTTACCATTGGCTATATCTGTGCTGGGGCTTTCATACTTCATATGTTTATTTCTTATCACAAAACATTTCTTCGGATACCAACTTTTTTTACTGTATGACCTTGACCTTGGAGTCTGACCTACTATTGAAAACTTTAACCTTGGACATATCTTTTGAAAGGTTGGTGTGAGGGCATTCACATTTTTCCTGTGTATTTCTTCTGACAAGACCTTTATTTAGGTACCAACATTTTTTTTTACTTCATTACCTTGAACTTAGAATTTGACATTTGAAAACTCTTAGCCTGGGTCATATCTTTTCAACAGTTAGTGCTTGGGTTTTTATATTTTACATGTGTATTCCTTGTTACAAAACTTTTACTTGGGTACCTACAAATGAATGGCATGTTTTATGAACATAACTGAAGATTCAGGGGCATTTAGCTTTTGGTCTGTCCTTCCATCTATCTGTCTATTTGTCTGTTAATCTGTTTCTTTGCAAAAACTTTAACCTTGCCAATAATTTTTTAATAGTTGGAGCTAGGGCTTTCATACTTTGCATGTGTATTCCTTGTGACAAGACTTTTCTTTGGGTACCAACATATTTGACATCTTGATCTTAAACTTGGAGTTTGACCTACTTTTGCAAAATTTTAACAAATATTAACCTCAAGTTTTGAATGGTTGGTGCTTAGACTTTTATATTTCACATGTGCATTCCATGTGACCAGACCTTTCTTTGATTGCCAACATTTTTTGACCTTTTGACTTTTTAGTTTGACCTACCTTTTAAAAACTTTAACTTTGCCTATAACTTTTGAATGATTGGGACTAGGGCTTTCATACTTGACTTATATTTTTGTTTTGGTACCAATATTTTTGACCCCATGACCCTGACATTCGAGTATGACCTTCTTTTGAAAACTTTAACCTTTGCCATAGTTTCTGAATGGTTGATGCTAATTAAGGCTTTCATATTTCACATGTGTTTTCCTTGTGACAAAACCTTTTTTGAGGTTCCAGCATTTTTAAAGTTTTGACCTTGACCTTGGAGTTTGATCTACATTTGAAAAACTTTAACTTTGGCCTTGAGCTGTTATATGGGGGCATCAGTGTTTCATAAACACATCTTGTTTTCATTATTACATTAGACTATAATTCTGTTTAAAAAAAAAATCTCATAATTTTCATGCTTATGAGAATTTTTAGATGAAAAATAAGAGTTATATCTAATGGTTTTTTTTTCAAAATGCTATTTAATTAATAAATATTCTGTAGTTTCATTTCAGCAACAGAAAATCTTTATAAATACATTAAACAACTTACCCTTTTTTGTGTTGAATGTCACTGATGTTAAAGGAAGACTTTATACTAGCCCTGGATGAGGTCCATATTACTTGTGATGGTGATTTGTGGCCAAGAAGAGGTTTCAGTTCTTGCACCTTGAAGGTATTAATAATAGCATACAATATGCATAAATTATTATTTACCAGCCAATTTATCATCATTTAGTAATCTATTATATTGTATACAGGAAAATTTTCGCCCCTTTCACCCTACACACAAGTGGGCAAATTTAAAATGGAGCAAATTCAAAAATCATGGTATAATTTGTTAAACAGAATTGTGACTGGGCGAATTTAAAACGGGGCAAAATTGTTTGCAAGTGTGAAAGGGCTAAAATAACATGGGGCAAAAATAACTCTGTATACATTAATAACTTTATAGGTACATGTTACTACAAATCCAAGGTATCTCTGGGGAGAACCTTGCTGCCAAAACTGAAATATTTCATGAACTACATGTTTGCTTGATCTAATTTCAAGCTTTTGTATCAAATCATATCAACTTTAGCATAAATCTTACTAAAACAAAATGGCCGAACAGATTTGTGGCAAAGACTTGTTGCAGTCCTTCCTGTGTGATTCTGTCTGTCTGTAATAATAACCCCTCCCCTGTAGTGAACATGTGGAGAATCTTCCTACAAAAATAGTTGTATTTGATATATAAAAATATTTTTTTTTTAATTTCTGAGTCATTTTCAATTACCTGGTAATTGTTGTAATGAATCATTTTTGTTTAATACAGTTGTCTACAATTTACATGGAACTTTCAAGACCTGTGAATTAATTTGAAGTTTGTAAGAAAATTAGACAATCTTCCCTAACTTATCTACCATGTATCCCTATATTGTACTTACTGTCCTGGGGTATCACTGTCAAAGATTTCATTCATCATGTGAGACCAGTTGATGCCTCGCCTAACAAAGATGGCTCCTGCATTGAGGTATAGAAGGTCGATATGTTTATACCTGAAAATTTTAATCCATTCCATATCAATTATGCAAAACAACAGTATAGGCTTGTTTAAACATTAATATAAGGGCACGTGGACCTCAATAATCACCTTATAAATAAACCTATAGTATAATATATGGTATTGGTGAACATTTAATATTCTCAAAGGCAAGGACAGAAAAAAAAATATTATAGCTTGAATATAATCATATTACACAATTCAAGATAATCAGTCATAAAGGTTACAGTTTGATGGCCAAAGCAAATTAAGGTAGGGACATATTTCTTTTTTCGTTTGAAAATAATCTAGTTTTTATTTATAAGTATCTATAAATTGATACTCATGTAATACAGTTAAACTTTGTTATCTCAAACTTGATGGAAAGAAAAAAACTTCAAGATATCCAATGGTTTGATGTATTGTGAGTAAATTATGTAAAGAAAAAACATCATTACAGGGATTTCCAAATGACTTTGACATGAAATGTAAATATACTTTTTTCCACGGGTCATAGTTCTGCTGAATATTAATTTCTTTTCAATCCACGGGTAAAAAATTACATGGATTTTTTTGATTGCCATTGCATGTCTTGTAAGCATTTCAAGTACGCTGTGACAAATTTCCTTGTAAAATTTAAATTAATCTCACGTGGAAAAAAGTACATCTACAGTACATGTATCCATGATATTCCAGATATCGAAGTTTGAGGTAGTGAAGTTCAACTGTAGTTCCTTTTGAATCAGCATTGCTGACCTAGAGGAGAAAAGTTTTAAAAAAAAACTTCTAGGAAAGGAATGCAAGACTAAAATTTATTGCAGAGAAAGAGTTGATATTTTATGCTTGCAGATCGATGGTTTGATTTCAATAAACCATAAGATTGCAATATAACTAATAACCTTAGAATGTGACTTGTTTCTCCCTGGTCCAAGTAAATCACAGAAATAATAAGTCACATTTTTCATCAATACAGTTGAACTTTGGTATCTCGAACACATATCTCGAACACATGGATATGTAGAAGTGATGTGGAAGTCCCAAGTACTTTTTCTTTTTGTGTATTTTACCCTTAATATCTTGAACCCATGGATATCTTGAAGTTTTCTGTAGGTCCCATTGAGTTCAAGATAATGAGGTTTGACTGTATATATCAGATCCAGTATAATCTACACATATGTATTAATTAAATTAATGCACAAGCTACTATACAAGAACAACCAATAAACTCTTAAAATCTCATCAATGAGTGTTATAGTACATGTATTTATTTTTTTTTTCAAGACAAAATTTATCTAACTGCATTCAAAGACACCACATGACCTTGCTATTACAAAGAACAATGTATTAAACTACAAAATTTTTCTTTAACAACCTTCACATACATGTCTCAGTCTTTTTTCTATCATGATTCAACACCTACACATATCATCACATTGATTTTTATACTTTTTAACTTCATTTAATACAATAATTACATAATGATTACAGTATGTTGAACCTTAATAGTCTTATTCACTGAAATGCACTTAATCAGATAGCATGCATGTCGCACATGAAATAGAACTGTACTCAGTATGCTCGATATTTTCTCCAAGTTTACTCAGAAAATAGCTGAAATGTAATCATTATACAGTACAGTTCTATTTCATGTTCAACAAGCATGCAATCAGTGCATTTCAGTGCAGAAGACTTATTACTATGTTCAATATCTTGAATTATCTTCTAATAAATCATATGCATGATTAACCCTGCTGAACTCTTTAATATGTGCATTTTAATCAAAAGTATGCAGACAGAAATTGCTTTAAGAGTCGAGGGATGTTTTAAAAATATCTTCTGTTTTCCATCCAGTATTCTAGCTATTCTGAAATTTGTGAGTTAATTTTACCAAAAATATAGAGTTATCTCTTTCTTTTGACATATATGATTCAAATTTTATAAAAATTTTAATGTATCAAATTATGTATATAATTTTTTAGAAAATCATTGGAAATTATGATAACTTTTGAAAATTGACCTGGAGGTAGACAGAAAACTATCCTTCAGAGTTCTTGGTAGTCTGAGTTTACCTATTATCCCTAAAATTATATCCTTTTTCTCTCTAGAATGGAAATCAAGTACATGTACATTCCAAACACCTTGGGGCCTTTCACAGAAAAAACACTGCAAAAGGCCTGAGGTGTTCCGAATGGTAAACGTACATGTATTGTTGAATAGTACACATGTGGATGCATGTGTTCATTTTCTATTTATTAAAAAAAACCCACTGAAACATAAAGATATACATCATTTCATTTACCCTACATGATAATGTAAATTATCTTGATCATTCATTACAACTAGATTTTACTCATTTCTCCCTCTCTCATTCCTTATGCTTAAGCATCATCTCATGAAATACAACTCAGCACTGAGCCTATAAATGGCTTATTGGAACATTTGACATGATCTGGGTAAGAGAAATGTACCCCCAAAACAGTAGCAAAACAAAGTGAGGGGACATTAAAACTCATTCGTCTGTCCATCTGTTAGTCTGTCTAGCTGTTGATCAGTCTGTCACAAAAACTTTAACCTTGTTCATAACTTTCAAATGAGAAAAGATAATGCTTTCATATTTTACATGTACATTACCTGTGACAAGATCTTTCCAAATGACACTGTGACATTGACCTTGAGGTTTAACCTACTTTTCAAAATTTTTCATATTACTTTACCTTGATCATATCTTTTTTTGAGATAAGATAGAGCTATCAAATTTCACAAGTACATTACCTGTGACAAGACCTTTCCAATGGCACTATGCTTTTTGACCCTGTGACCTTGAAGTTTGGTTTTCTTTTCAAAATTTTTAACATTGGTTATAACTTTTGAATGAGAGAAGACAGGGCATTTATATTTAAAATGTGCACTGCCTGTGACAAAGCATTTCTGAACTTCCTATGATATTTGACTCCCTGACCTTTACCTTCAATTTTGACCTAATTTTCAAAAATTTTCACATTGGTTAAAACTTTTGAATGACAGAAGAAAGGGCATTCAATTAGCAAGTGCACTACCTGTGTCAATTAGTTTCTGAATGTGCTGTGATATTTGATCCCATGACCTTGACCATCAAGTTTGACCTTATTTTCAAAATATTTTATCAATGTTGCAAATTTTTGAAGGAAAGAGGATAGGGCATTCATATTTGACATGTGCATTACCTGTGACAAGACCTTTCCAAATGTACTATGAAATTTAAACCCATGACCTTGAAGTTTGACCTAATTTTCTAAAATTTTAACATTGCTGATAACTTTTGAATGATAGGGCATTTATATGTTATGTGCATTTATTTACCTGTTTCAAAACCTTTCCGAATGTAGTCTGCTTTTTGACCTCGTGACCTTGACCTTTAAATTTAACCTACAGTCTTTTCCAATTTTTTTTTCACATTAGTAAGAACTTTTGAATGAGAAAAGATAGGGCTTTCATATTTTACAAGTACATTTCCAAAGACAACATCTCTCAAAAAGGTATATCAATTTTTGAATTCATGACCTTGATCTATAAGTTTGAAGGACACACAAATAAGATGGACACCAAAAGCAGGGTACAGTTCTTTGAACTGCTTGTTTATGACTTTCTGTGCATTACAGCTTTAATTTACTGCACGCTGCTTCAGTTTCTTTAAGGAAGACATGCACCATGCTGTCCTAGGATAGATTTATTGATTTTTTTTTTCAATATCCATAGAGAGACTTATCAAATATGCTAGAATTTTCTTTAACTCAAACATACAATCAATGAATTATAATTACACTCATAAGCTGAAAACATTCAAATATAGAGGAAATTAAATGACAATAAACAAATCAATACTTATTTTTTTTTAAATCTATGTTAACCATCAAGAATAAGGGTGCTTGTATCAAAATTGATTCAGAATACCCAAATTTTTTTGTAAGTCTATCTCCACAATATAAACTTTATAGCATAAAAATTGATGGTATATATTTACACATTATGAAGCCTTGAGTGTTAAGAAAAACTGAGTTTAGATCTTTATACATGTATGTGTATCTTCAGTGATTTTTCTACATTTTTTAAAAGGGGCCTGGGCCTATACAATTGTGAAAAATCATCGACATTTGTGCCAACGTGGGAATTATTGCTTATAAAATAACAAATTAGACACAGTTCTACATTAAATTTTATAACTTTCTTTTTTTTTTAATCTTTGAAAGTTGTCAATGATTGTCTTTATATTTTTCATCATGGTTTTATTTTGGGAAAAAGCAACTTAAATTGGGAAAAACTTAGTAATTTTTGACAGGGGAAAGGGCCGATATTTGGACCTAAATTTGGTGTAGAAAAATCACTTTAAAGCTTTGATCTGAAAAACATTAATGGTTTGAAAATAAATTATGTCAAAGGCTTAATTCAACTAAGTTTTGCAGTGAATTTTTTTCTTTTCCAGTCTTTCAGACAAAAGAAAGCATGCAAACCAGACTTAAAGGGGACATATTCCAAACCCTCAACAATAAATTATTCTAACATTTCCAGTGCCAACAAATTCCACAGATACTGTGCAGGTAGGAATTCAAATAAACCAACATAAAATCCTCTTGATATTAGCGCTTTCTTTATGGATTACACCAGTTTACTTATAGAGGCATAAATCCATCAAAGTCTTCTGGATATGTTTTCTATACCGGTACATTAAAGACCAGAACTAACATTGAGTTTTTATTTGCCTCAATACTGATAGACAATTTTTTTTATCTGGGATTGGAGGCTGTGATAAGGGAATGATGAGATATATTCTTAATGCTGTTTGAATAAATTGATTTCATTGACTTTGCATTAATTGCCCTGGAAAGTTAATCAACAAATAGTAAATTCAAGATCAATTTTGAATTAAAAAAAAATAAATACATTTGTTTTGTGGGCTTTAGATTCATTTATTTTTTCTGTTATCAGTGATTAAAGCATTTACTCTAAAATTTTGTTTGATATTCCATGGTAAACATTTGTGAGGAATAATGGCATCATCTACAATGCAGAGTTACTGTATTTATTAAAAGAACGAGAAGTTAATAAACAATTCTAATTTCATTCTTAATTAATAATTTATTAAAAAAAATTAATCATTTATACATTTTAAAATAATGGCCAAAAATAACAGATTCTATAAACACTACACTGCACATACTAAGGCCTAAAAACAGTTCCAGGTGAAGCCAAAGGAAAATGCATCTGATCTTAGGGAACAAGAAATCTCTCTAACTCACAGAAAGATATTTTTTACTTTTATAACCATACAAAAGTTAAACTTGGTTTTAAGCTCCACCCACAATCTCTCTGTTTGATTATTGATATCCAATGTTTACAATTATCATTGGCAGGTGCTGCACTCTAATCTTATGTAAGCTCTGCCCATATCATCTTAGATTATACCTAACATCAAAGGTGGGTGTTATACCATGAAATACCAGCTTTTGCATGTTTAAGGAGTCAATAGTGTATTTATATGAATTTAGGAGATAAAGTAAAATTTAATGAATTACTTTTATGTAATCAGCAGAGTCCCAATAATGATTTCCTATCATTAATTTAAAAGAAAGTTAATTAAGCACAACTTGCTTGCATTATAGTAATTAAATAATATTTTCTTTTAGATATTCCTCGTATACATGTATAATGTTCACAATCATATTCAGTTTCAACATATTTCATTGCCAAAAAAAAAAAAAAAAAACTTATGGCAGATTGAGCTTTTGCTGTCATTTCAAACATTGGAAAAATATATAAGCTACTTACATGCTTTTCATAGTTCTTACTTTAAACGAAGTTCTTTGGCTCCTTTTATAACAGAGGCAATGCTGCTAGTGTCTATTAGGACAATGTCCACTGTAGCATTTGGTTTATATTTAAGAAGAGAATTTTGAGCAGACTCTGCTCTGGACTTATTTCGGCAGACCAAACAAATTTCAATTCCTTGACCATCATGCAAATCTAGAAGCCTCTCTGCTGTTGTAAGACCAACTCCTCTGTAATGGAAAAAAATTAAGAATATTATTGAAAGAGGACATGTAGGAAGTGGCACATTATTAAATATAAATAAAATTCATTTTTAAACTAGATTTGTTTGATCAGATAATCACAAATGCTCCAAGAATGGTCTTTTCTAATGAAAAAAATTGACTTGGACTACCAGGTACACACTTTTTCTGCCAGTGACCTTGAAATTGCCTAAATGACCTTAAGTAAGGGTCTTATACAGCCTTAGCTCCTCAGAAATCTTTGTGCCAAGAATCATCTTCCAATATTTCTCCATTAAAAGATATGTCCAGGACAGGACATTTTCCTAAAATTTTCCTTTAACTTGCCCAAATGACCTCTGAGTCAAAGTCAAAACACATCCTCTGGTCATCACTATTCTACATGTGCAGTATCAACTTCCAATATATTTCCATTAGAAAAGTATGGACCAGACAAGAATTATAAATATTTTTTAATGTACTGTAGATTCCTAAATATAGGCAAGTAATTTATTATCAAGAAAATCACAAAAAGCACCATGCACTCCCAAAATAAAATTATTTTACTTTTTATTTTATATTGACAGAATGACAGATTTCAGACAGAATAAAAACAATATGCCCCAAGATCTTCAATCTTGGCAGACATTATTTATAGCTAGCACCTCTTTAAAGTTTTTTTCCTGATTATGGACCCTCTGTACACTAATTATTTTGTTTTTAGACATTGAGAAAGTATGTTATATTAATTTATTTATATACATTATATAGATATATAAAGATATTATATGTATAATGATCTAAGTCTTGAATTAATCTATCTCATTTTAAAGATAGCTAGGGTACCTGCCATTTACCCCCAGAAAAAATGTTCTCGATGTTAAAGAATGACTGTAAGTTGCTTATTTACAATGTAAAAGGGGAAAAACACATGCCAATTTCAAAAGTATTGAGTTCAATTATAGTTTATTTTGACCTGATAAAATGATAAGAATATTTATTATTATTATACTAATTATAAATTAATAAAGTTGATACATGTAGATTTTCAATTTATTTTATTTTGGATCTAAGGGTAGACCCCTCTGACTGAATATGTCAGTATAATGAAATATTTGAACTCTTTAGTGTGCAGTGCATAGAGGACCCTGAATGTTCTTTCAATAATACATTTGCATTGCTTTGATCATTATTGCTATGGCATTCATCAGGCTCTGTAAGATGACAATTAGTGAAATAACCTCATAGTTACAATACGAATATCAACACATCAAGGAGCTTCACATCAAATATGAGCAACATTAAATGTACTAAAAAATTAATCAGTACACATTACATCATTAACCAAATTTTTTCTTGCCATTCATCAACTTTAAAATTTCTGTTGTTGAAAGAAACTTGTGTGAATTACATAACCTGACTAAAACTTTTAAGTTTTTTGTACAAATAAGATTAAATTTAATAGGAAAGAAGTCCTATTATCATATTAAACACTGGTTTTTGATTGACAATTATCAAACAGGGGATGAAATATACGGTAGACCAATGCCCGGGGCTAATTCTTTTTAAGACTTAGGCTAGATAATTTAAATGTAACGATAGTCCGTCGGACTAGCAGAACAGATAAAAAATTCTCGATCGTCAGTTTACTGTAACTTTTCTAAGACTGGTTTCTTTTGACTGAGAACTAATAAGTTAATTTGTTCCTGTCACTAAAGCGTTTAACACTTTAATTTGTTATGTTTTCATTTTGCAGGAAAATTGTTGGGCTAGTTATTTTGATATTTGGGCTAGTAAATTTTTACTGATCAGTAGCCCCTGGGCTAATGGGTTCTTCAGAAAAATTTCAACCCCTGTTAAGAGTATTAATTGATAAAACACTAATGATACAGATTCCTACTCAAAAGTTTAGTTGTTTTTTTTTTTATTACCGTATATACTCGCCTATAAGTCGGTCCGCCTATAAGTCGGTTGTATTTTTGAAGCTTATATTAGAGGGATTGACCTTCTAAAATATCTATCTTTTTATAACTCGCCTATAAGTCAGACATACAGTTTTGGACCAAAGTTTAACTCCCAAAAATCCGACTTATAGGCGAGTATATACGGTAGATTTCTTTCTTATAAAAACGAACTTTTTTTGTAAAATATTGATTAAAAATATTAATATACAACATGTACAATGCATAAACATTTAGGTACCAGTTTTACTGAGAGAAAATGCAGTGAGATAAAAATGTCACCACATGCATATATTTACAATTATTTGTATGACTGCATGTACAATGAGATGAGTTGTGTCTCTGCAGACCCCCCCCCCCCCTTTCCGTCAACCAAGATAAAGAGAAAAAAAGGGAGTGTGTCTTTGGTACTCATTATGCCCCCGGCTGCTTCGTAAAAACAAAGATCTTCCCCTGTTATATGAACTGTTCTTTCCATTCAAAACAATCTTATATGAAACTATTTCCCCCTTTTTTTCTTCAAAATTTTATATTTTCTGATTTATCTTTAAAATGTCAACATGGTAAATGATGCGAGATCGGCAAATCCGATGAATTAAACTGTTTTAAAAGACGGTTAAAATATCGATCGTAGTTCAGTAAAGAAATGTCAGCATGAAAAATTTCAATCATTTCAATACTTACGAATTTCCACCAGTGATTATTGCTACAAGTTTGTTTTCATGAATCGCAGACATCAGAAAAAATGAAAGTAGGAGTAAAACCAATATTGGAAACTCTCGGAATATTGAAATCCGGAAATTTTTTTAGGTTTCTTCCTTTTTCAAGGATTTGCTCGTTTCTATTTCTGTTATATGGCGCGATTTTCTTGTTGATAAAGGAAAGTCAATTCATTGGTTACATTGATTAGATAAGGTGGTACGACATGGTCACAGGTAGTGTAATTCAATTGCCTGATAAACAAGCCGCATACAGGAGCAAGAAAACCGATCCTGTGAATTTAACAGAGCAAGTTTGAAAATATTTCTTAAATAGAAAATGTAACCGTTCTCATACAAAAAAGACAGCTTGAATGGGACTTCTAATCAGTTTATATATTACATAAATACATTAGGGATGGCATTAGTAAAGAATATTTATCAGTATAAATAAAGAATTATTTTCATTCTGCATGGCATATATTTCATCAAACATTGTACGCAGGAAGCACATTTTAATACAAACCTTCGAAGTTTACAACTTGACATTCAACAGTATGACTTTACAAATACACAGAGATTGTTAACCATATTAAAAATTAAGATACATGTATCTGTAACATCATTGTTTATTATAATAGTCATGATTTATAGTTGTTAGGCTTTTTAGGCAAGATGTGTTTGTGAAACACCAATGCCCCCGTATGGCAGCTTATGGCATAGGCGTCGGAAGCAAATTGAAAGGGGGGGGGGGCTAAACCAACCAAAAAAAAAACTTTTTGCATAAAATGACCCTGTCCTTATATCAATTAATTGACTATCACCCTTTGTCCCATTTCATATATCAAAAAAAGTAGAGACTTAGTGCTTTCATTTTCTGTAACAAAAGTTCTTTTTTGAGAATCCAGGTGTTAGACAACAGGTTTTGAGAAAATGCAATGTTCTCGAATTTTGCAGAAAATATGCGTATTTGACTACCTTCAGCAAAGAATCATAATATGAGCACAGCCCACGATCCAAAAATTAAAACATGTTTTGTGATCTTCAGAAACAGATCTTTCATTATGTAATTGCATATTTTGGATCAGAGGTTGTGCTCTATATATGAAATATCTAAGAAAAATATCTCAACTTTTGGCCATTTTTAAGGGAATTTGCAGGCTTTGGGGAAAATGACGCATTTTATGACGTCATAATGCATTGACTAGAGAGAAAATTACGTCATGTTCAATAGATACACGGTAGCCAAGGGTCCAAGTTATAAATACTGCATTTTCAACCAAAACTGAACAGTTTCGATTTTTCAGAAATTCCCAGGGCCAAAAAAGTCCTAAGTGGCTCTTGCTCTTTCAATGCCTATTTTGCAAAAAAGTGGGGGGCTAAGTCCCCCCCCCCCTTTGCCCCCCGGTTCCGACGACCATGTATGGTGAAGGTTAGGTTAAATTAAGTTTCTCAAATGCAAGTCAAACTCCAAGGTCAAGAGATCAAAAATGTTGTTACCCAAAGAAAGGACTTGTGTCAATGGATTGATTGATTGTATACTGTTTAATGCCCCTATTGAAATTTTCTCACTCATGTAGAGACATCACCGTATGCCGGTGAAGGGCTTCAAATTTAGACCACTAGGGCCATGGAGCTGTGAGGGTTCTTTAACGTGCCAACCTTACCGTGACATGGTACCTCGGTTTTTAAGGTCAATCCGAAAGATCCGTGACTTTCACTTCTAGTGCCGGGCGTCTGGTGAAGGAACAGTCACTACCTATGTTTACGTCTTAGGTTTGACGCAGCGCGGCGAACGAGAATCGAACCCGGGGCCTCCCGATCACGAAGCGAACGCCCTACCACTGGGCTAAGGTGTATATTCCTTGTGTCATTTATTTTGACCCTTTGATCTTGGGCATTTATTTTGACCCTTTGATCTTGACCTTGGAGCTTGACCTACCTTTTGTAAACATAACTTCTGAACGGCTGGTACTAGAGCATTCATATTTTACAATGTATTCCTTATGATTAGACCTTAATTTCTAGATACGGTTTTTGATCCCTTGACCTTCACCTAGTAGTTTGACTTGCAATTCAGAAACTTAAACCTTCGCCATGAGCTGCCAAACAGGGGCCATGGAGCAGTGAGAGTTCTTTATCGTGCCAACGCCTACCGTGACACGGGTCCTCGGTTTTTAAGGTCTCATTCGAAGGACCCGCAACGGTCACTTCACAGTGCCGAGCGCTTTGCGAAGGAACAGTTGCTACCTTTTTTTTTTTTTTTTTTATCGAATTAGGTCAGTCGCGGCCGTGATTCGAACACACGACCTTCCGATCACGGAGCGATCTTGAGAAGAATATTTTCAGAGATATTTTCCGATATATTTCTATGTGTAACTTTGATCCTCAGTTATGGCCTCACCCTACCCTTGGGGGTCAGACTTCAACAAACTTGAATCTACACTACCTGAGCACGCTTCTGTATTGATATGACTAGTTATGGCTTTGTTGTTCTTGAGAAGATTTTAAGATATTTTCTTATATACCCATGTATAACTTTGATCCCCTGTTAAACTTAAGACGTAAACATAGGTAGTGACTATTCCTTCACCAAGCGCCCGGCACTAGAAGTGAAAGTCACGGGTCTTTCGGATGAGAACTTAAATTTCGAGGTCCTGTATCACGGTAGGCGTTGGCACGATAAAGAACCCTCACTGCTCCATGGCCCCGAGTGCCGAGTATAGGTCTAAATTTGAAGCTCTTCACTGGCATACGGTGACATCTCTATATGTGTGAAAAATTCTCGAATGGGACGTTAAACAGCATACAATCAATCAATCACTAACTGAGGATTCTTATGTACTAATGACTAATCATGGCTTTACTGCTTTTGAGAATGATTTTTAAAGATATTTCCTATTAATTCCAACACATAACTTTGATCCCCTGTTGTGGTTGATCCCACTCTACCCTAGTGGACCATGATTTGAACAAACTTGAATCTACACTACCTTAGGATGCTTCTGTACCAATACTAGTCATGCCTTCGCTGTTCTTGAGAAGATTTTTAGAAATATCCTTATATTTCTATGGCTTTGCTGTTCTTCAGAAGATTTTGAAAAGATATTTCATTATATTCCGATGTAAAATTGATCCCCTATTGTGGCCCCACCCTACCCCCAGGGGTCGGGATTTGAATAAATTGAATATACACTTCCTGAGGATGCTCCTGTATTAATATGAATAATCATGGCTATGTTGTTCTTGAGAAGATTTTTAAAGATGTATCTATATATTCCTATATGTATAATCTTAAAGGGGTCATGATTTGAACAAACTTGAATTTACATTACCTGAGGATGCTTCTATACTAATTTGACTAATCATGTCTTTGCTGTTCTTGAGAATAAGATTTTAAAAGACACTTCCTGTATATTCCTTTGAAACCCTGTTGTGGTCCATCCTACCCCGAGGGTCATGACTTTAACAAAATTGAATCTACACCACCCGAGAACCCTATCCCCGGGGGTCGAGATTTGAACTGGAATCTATACTACCTGAGGATTCTTCTGTATTAATATGACTAATTATGGCTTTGCTGTTCTTGAGAAGAATTATAAAGATGTTCCCAATATATTCCCACGTATAACTTTGATCCCCTGATGTAGCCCCACCATACCCATTGGGGTATTGATTTGAACAAACTTGAATCTTTACTAAGTGATGAAGCTTTCACTTAAGTTTCATCTTTTCTGTCAGAGTGGTTCTTGAGAAGATGTATAAAAAAAAAGATGCCATTAATTTTTCACTAATTATGTATAATCTCTCCATGAAAGAGGGCGTGGTCCTTTCGTTTGAACGAAGTTGAATCCCCTTTACCCAAGGATGCTTTATGACATGTTTGGTTGAAATTTGCCTAGTGGTTCTTGTGAAGAAGTTAAAAATGTGAAAAAAATTTCAGACGACGGATCCCTTCGATCAGAAAAGCTCACTTAAAGACGTACAACACACTGGGGGAGATAACTCTTGCAATTTCAATTAAACGTTTAACTTGACGTCAAATTTGACGTTTATAATAAAGCGTCAAAATGACGACCGAATCGTTCCCGACGTAATTAAAAGAAAACGGGATTAGGGACTTGATGTGGTTTCTTTAGAAATACCAAATCGCATCTTTGATTATTTGCGCTTTTGATTTAAAACCCACCCCTCCCTCCATAAAAAGGGAAGACAAGAAAGATAATGTCTTAAAATTTCTTTAATTTTATATGAAACGTATCCGTGATCAATATTAGCAGAACAATATACTTTATCTTTTTTATGATACATTGCTTTCTTTTGTTACAGTTGGCTAAGTAACATTCGCATTACCAGATCACGGGCCTATCTTAAAATTAAGAATTAGCCATATAAATCTGTTTTGTTCTCCTTTTAAGAAAAAAAAGTTTTACAACCCGTTTCCAAAAGTTCACTGATCAAAGAGGAACAACTCTAAAAATGTGGGAGATTTTCCCCTCCCCTTCTTGAGTTACTTCCTCCTGTTTGCCGAACACATTTACGATGAACTCAGGAACTGAAAACTATAATATATACTAAGTAAATACCGAAAATGTAATAGAATTGTTTACTGAAATGGTCCGAATTCATGAATATCTTACATGCGGCAAACTGGCCATATCCGACCATCTAGATCTACGATCTACCGCTGTCAACAATTTCAGTGCGCATTTCCTCGAATCAAAACAAAACGTTTTATACATGTATGGTCACTGTGCATGAATATTTTGACACATGAATAATTTAAACATAGATGGAGAATTTACAGTTTGATAAATTGAAGTTAATGTAGACAAATACGATATTTCCCCTTTTTTTATAGAAGCAAAAGAAGGATGCATACAAGTGTGTGTGTGTGTGTGTGGGGGGGGGGGTACTTTTAGACCCCTCTCTTGTTTGAAATAAATAAGAAAAAATATATTCCATTTACCAGTCTGTTTACATTATAGAAGAATTGAATTTTCAACATTGTGCGTTCACTTTTAATGAAAAATGAGATTAAAATTCAATGTAAGTTGAATTCATACGCAGGTATA